GAAAGGAAATTAAATCAAGAGGCAAACGCTTTTAGAGAGAAAACGAAGTCAAAGGAAGAAAATTACAATAAAATGCTTCAGCAAATAAGTACTTGTTTGGAAAAGCTTACTGCTGCGGAGCATGAATACGAACGGTAAAGTATGCTTTATAATTTCTAAGATATTACACATTCGGCGACGAATACAGTTAATCAACGCTACAAATTTATAGTTTTCAACATGAGAACGATGAACAGCAAATGGAAGAACTGAAAACAGGAATTAAAGATGTCCAATTACATTCCGAGCAGAAGTCGGCCAACGAACGGGCTGTTCAGCATGAAATTGACTTTTTTGAGAGCCAGTTTGTAGAGGTTTCCAAGCACAAGATCAACGTAGAAAGGAACATTGAACTTAGAAGAACTCTACGCGACTTGGAAACGATCAATAATCAAATTGCTGGTATCCGCAATGAGATTTGCAATCAATTCGGAGATAGTGCCGATCCGTATAGAGATTTAAAAACCGTCCGGGATAACTATATGAAGGAGGTAAAAGCAGAATTGACACTACTATATCTTACCATATACATTCATAACTGAATATATGGATTTATCCTTCTACTACTAGCGTTCAAAAAATGCGGGGAGATTACAAACAATCAAGGAGAACATAGCTCAGGCTCAAAATGATATCAGGGATAGATATATGAATACTGCTGAAAACTATAAGGCGGCCAAAATTGAAGACATTGTATGTCAAGCGAGTTGCAATGAATCTTATTCCTTTGTATTTTACGAATACGTGCCAATAAAGATATTACTCAACCGCCAATATAGATTATTAAGACGAGACTTGACGACTTGAAGAGATTAAAGACAGAATTAGAAACGTAAATATACTTTCTGGTAACATTTTTATAATGTAAAGCTTTGATATCATACTGACTACTTGATCGTTTTCCTAGAGGGTTATTGACTGCGCACGCCAAACAAATGGACCGAATAAATAAAGTCATTGCTGACTTGTGGAGGAAAACTTACAGAGGCGACGGTGAGAAGAATATCAAATAACAGATGCGAGCGGTATTTGTATCAAAAAAGTTATATTTCTTTTTTGCATTTATTTTCGCAGACATCGACTTTATTGCGATAAAGGCAGACGCTGAGGGGAAAGCGGCGCGCTCATTTAATTACAGAGTACGTAATCAATATACACCATCTGCGTTCAGTATAATCTTTATTCATTTTGTAGATGAATTTTGCAGGTATCAAAAGTGAAGGGTTCTGTCGAAATCAGTATGAAGGAAGGCAGTAGTGCCGGACAAAGGGCACTAGCTTCAATTATCATACGATTGGCACTCGCCGAAGCCTTTGCAGGACACTGTGGAGCGCTGGTTCTCGATGAACCGACAGCAAACCTTGATGTTGAAAATACCGAAAGTCTAGCAATGAGTCTCGGGACGTATGTATTTGATATAGTACATCGAATCAAGTCTTTTTATATCAGAGATTAGGCTAAAGACGGATTGTTTTCTTTTATTAAGCATCATCAGGGATCGTCGTTACGAGCGCCCAAATTTCCAGCTCATAATTGTCACTCATAATAAAAACTTTGTGAGGATGCTGGGAGCGAATAGTCTGTCCGACACATACGTTCTAGTGGATAAGGATTACAAGTAAGAAACGAATATATTGCTTATGTTTGTTCATCGATTATTTTATCTTATGAAATTGCATATATTTTACCATGACAGCCAGTACAGTCGTATCTCGGTCAACCCTATTGGATTGATATAAACGATGCAACGAGGCTAACCTTTAGCGTAACGTCTACATCTTTAGAAAGCCATGCCTCGCATGTCATAAGTCTTTTGTTTTGTCTAACATATTTTTCATTAACGTGATGCTTGGCGAGTATATTTACTTTCAGAGCCATATTTACACTCATAATGATCATTTATTGCTATGCTGATTAGTACGCACTTGATTTGCTTAGACTTACATTAAACTCAATAATACACCAATCTGCAGTTTATTCATTGTTGGGCGACTTCAAGTACTTGTCACCTACTTATTATTGAAAATCTTTCTCGCATCTTCATAGCTTTCTCTTCATCAACCGTGAACACGTATACACTCCCAGTACTACTGCCAACACACATGAAATCCATATTCTCAGACAATGCGACTGCTCCCACATTCCCATCAAAGCACTCAAAACTCTTCACTAACATTTCTGACCCTGACTTGGCCAGGTCCCATATTCTCACACCGTCTTCGCCTCCAGATAATATCATGTGCCCGCTAGGCCACTGAATGGCCTCTATACCGTCACCGCCATCTATAGACGATTTTACATGAGGCAGAGTGGCGAGAACTCGGTCAAAGAAACGGGTGTCATATACTTCTACAATATTGTTCGCACCACCGACCGCAACATAACTCTCGTTCGGACTGATTGAGACTAAAGTCGCATCTTTTTCGGTGGTCGCAGCTGAGGCGATGGGATCACTATCTGGCAGATCGTACAGCCATATCCTACCATCTCCTACTTCTTTGGCATTAGCCCCACTAGTTCCACACACTCCGAATGACCCTGAACGAGCTACAGCAATACATGAAACACTTCTCTGGGCTTTTGCGAACTGCTTCATTACCTTCCTTCGCTCAATATTCCACACCCTCACTACTCCGCCACCCTTATTTCCTTTACCGTTGTATCCCACAATTATAGTATCGGCGCACCGATGGCGGCCAAATAGAATGTCACTTGCCACACGGTTGTCTTTCTCGTCGTAACTGGTTCGACGTTGAAGACTATAAGAATTACGTTTAGGGGTAACGTCAAAAAGATTGACGTTGCCCGATGATAGACAAGAGGCAAATTGGTAGTGGGTTGAGATGGGTGTTGCACGCACAGCAACACGATTGATTATATCACGACAATCTGTGACATAATTAAAATCGCCAAAATTTAATAAAGTTTTATTCTCATGATCAATTCATCCTACGCAAACTTACTGTCGCTTCCATGTAGATGGCCGGTTGACTTTCCACAGGATGTATCCCATAGTATGCACTGTCCTTTGTCATCTGCAGCCAACAATACTCTTCCATCAGGTGAGAATTTAGCATCAGTTACCGTATCAAAGCAAGCAACACCAGCCCGAGATTTCGAATGATGGCCAAGGAAATGATACAATGTACTCGATGTCGGATCGTAAAATTTCAGGTTGCCTTCAGTGTTATAATCTGGATTATCATTTGTTGCACAGCAAATTGCAACACGAGTTTTACTAGCGGGATGTAAAATAGAGTCAAATAAATTAAACTGGCGGCGACGAGACATACAAATAGACATAAAATATTGTGACAAACGAAATTCAAGATCAGAACAAACTAAGCAAAGGTAACAACTTATTGTCAGAGACGTATAATTATCCAAATTATTTCTCCCGCATCAACAGCCTAATAAATAACCAATACCATAATTCGCAACAAACAATTAATTAAAAAACTAACCGTTCGGCTTCGCAGAATGCAATGTCGACTACACTTCCACTTGCTTCGTGAAATACCAAAGCTAACTGTAATGTTTGAAATAGACTCTGTATTCCAAGACGTGCTTGGGCACAAGACGATATACCACGTAACTCTCTTCTTAATAACGTCTTCTGCACTGTATCACCTGAAATATCTTACGTTCATTATCATGTACTGTCAGTATTTGGCGCACAATGACGATTGTCAAATAATTTGCGCTGTGCATATAATAACTTCTATCTCGAATCGCCCTAACCCGATACAAAGAAAATGCTTCAAAAAGAAACGTACCACTATCTGTGATTTTTTTTCTTGCACATTTATTGTCTGATTTTTCAAAAATCCGTTCATATCTCTAGGAAATGTGAATGTATAATTGATTGATAATATTTTATTTCGCCTAAATGGACGCTTTCTACCTACCAATCGAATACGTTCATCCATTTCTTGCTGAGTAGCCTTTAATTCCAGCTTAATCATTTCTTCAATATCTTCAGCGAAATAATCATCTTAACAAAATCAAGAATGTATTAGATGTCAAAAAACCATCCATTTATGTTATTGAATTCCACATAAAACATGTACCTTCGCAAGCTGTACGAGAGGACTAGAGCATAAACAAGAAACATGCGTATAGACATATGCAAACATTTTCGTAAGTATATTACAGATTGAATGGCCAGTAAACGTGAAGTTAGACTAAACCAAGTTTACTAATGGAACATTATCAGAGATCCCTTTCCAAAAAATTTCACAGTAGCCCAAACAGAACAATAACTTACCACTAATGTTGAATCAACGTCAACTCCCATATCTTCACTTTCTCCCAAACTGGTGACTTCACTATCATGATCATCGTCGTTTCTGTCACTATGACCATCTTCACTCATCGCGTTCCTCCCTTGATAGTCGCAATTCTCAACAGTTGATCTATGACTGTCTTGACTTCCAATTTCTGTCTGACTATCTTCGTCAACAACAAGCGCATCTCCTTCCCGTAAGTGCGCATCCTTACAGGGTGACAGTTTTTGTGGGGAAATAGATCTCTCAGGCGGCTCATTACTGGTAGAAGACTCCCTCAATGAGCCAACGACCTCTAAAGGGACTACTGCAGGACATATCTCGTGCTCTTTCCTCGCATTAATATCATTATAATTATAAGCATCACCATCAACACCATCATTATCATTGTCATTACCATGGCCATAATTACAATTACCATTAACACTATCGTTGTTGTCGTTGCCGTTGCCGTCGACATTCCCGTCATGTTTATTGTTTTTTTTATACCATTACTATCAACCTCATCTATTATTTCTATGTAGTTTGGTGCCAATTCGCGCCAATCTGTTTTAAGTCGCTTATTATAATCTAATGAATCTGGATCGTCGTCGTCGTCATCGTCTCGTTTCCTTTTTTCTGACGGACTTTCACATAGCAAATCAGTGGCAGGTGGGAGTTCATTAGAATCATTGGTCGCAGCTATACCTGCTGTCGAACTGCTTTGAACGATAGTGTCATTAGGCGTTGTATGCTCATTTGTGAATGAAGAAGACCTATTACAATCTGCATGTTCAGGCAAGCCCGTGTGCACTGGAGGGATCCAGGACTTTGACGTCTTTTTTGACCCTTCTATACGTCTATTTATTGGAGGTTGTTTACTTGGTTTAGTAATAAACTGTTCCGGTAACTCAGCAATAAACTCGAAATTAACTGGGTTCCAATTCTCCACACTAAATGTAGCATATATCGGTGTCACCGGCGCTCTTGGCTTTTCCATATAAGGTCGCTGCCCTAGAGCTTCTCGCATTAAATGCTTATTTTCGTCTATTTCTACGCTCAGTAGTTTTGACGTTCCCATAGATCCAGAAAAGGATGATTCTGCTTGAGTTGAATCAAGTGTTTCTTTTGGTATCATGGATTTCTTTGCAAAAAACTTTGTTTCTTTGTTATTTTCTAAATCATCGGACTTTGGTATCATTGATTTCTTGGCAAAATTCTTGCGCATTCCGGTATTAACTTGTGGATTACTTGTCGATGAAGTTTGTTGGGAAACCAAGACCGTTCCAGGACGTTTGCCTGCATCTGCATTTACTAGCCTTCTTGGAAGCTGAGTGGTAAATGGGGAGCAGCCGATCCTTGTCATCTTCGTCGTCAGGTCATTCCACTTACCATGTTCATTTATCCACTGAGCATCTATGTTTGCTGTCGGCTGGCCGATGTTTGTAGCTAGAATGTGACTTGCGGCAACATTTAAAAGTCGCTCAAGCTGATCTTTGGCTTTATTCAAGACTCGCAATTTCTCAATAGAACTTCTGTTCTGTTTCGAGCTATCTTGGCCATTATTTGATGTCATTATTTCGTGTCAAAGCTTATCTTCATTAATTTAAGACGCGTAGAAAGTATTGTGTAATGAAAAGGCTGGCTTCTTGCGCTTTACTGTTCTGTGGTTTTCGATCCGACGTTTAAATTCCAGATAAATTTAAATGGGACATACTGCAAGAAGTGAACGTTTACGTCACAACAATGTTTTCGGGGCTAAATTTTTTGATTCCCCAAATATGGGGTATCGAAATGTACAGACATGTGATACGGGTGAACTATTGGCAACAAGAAAGTCGACTTTGACACTTCGGACAATTTGATTAACAAGAATAAGATTATAACGTTTCTCATAAGGGACATCAACATTTTCGCTTCGACATTTGCATTATCTTTTGATGTAATGGCTATATTAATGCTCCAAACAGATACAGAATCGGTTCGACCAATATAGCTTCATCCATCAGGAGGATTTTCTATGAATCAAGCCGTAACAGTGAGTTCGAAACGCTGATGTGATGATTAATGTCAGTCATCATTCTTTTAATTCGCGTTCGTAATGCCCTGTGTATGTAAATATTAACATGGTCATTACAAGCCCAATTATCATGACAATCTTGTTACGGGAAAGATCGGCAGACGGCTTCAACAACTTTTGCTAGTCTGTCGATATACATGATTTGGAATTATGGAAACCCAATTTGCTGAGAGGCCACTCTCGCTGACCGAACATCAGGGACAGAGTCAACAAGAGGTCGGCGAAGACTCTCATATCATTTGTCCTGATCAGTTTGTATTGCTGAAAATGCCAAGTGGAAACGTTAAAGCAGTAAGACTCAAGAAAGACACGTACGTTTACATTCATGATACTCACTTGGTAGAGTTACGAATTAATTTAAAACGTTCAATTCAGCCAAGTATCTCTCGGCAAGTTTGGTAATTTTGATACCAATAGCATTATCGGACATCCTTACGGATACTCTTATGAAATTTACGAGGGAACGAAAGCCAAGATTATAAAGAATGTTGCATTTGTCGATGTTGGTACGTGAATTTTGTCACGCAGTGTGTTGTAGGAATGTCTGTTTCTGATATTTACTTTGATGAAAGACGATACTGAAGCGAACAATAAAGACATTGTGGATGATCCAGCAAAACAAAATTTATCTCATGAAGAAATCGAAAGAATGAAGCAAGAAGGAGTAGGCGGACAAGTATGTCTTGTTTTTAGCCTCGATTTCTGTGTCACACGTGCTTGATAAGTTTAACTGCATTTATAGGAAATTATCAAGAAGGTGGTTGAAGGTCATTCGACTTTTAATAAAAAGACAGAATATTCCAAGGCAAAGTATATCAAGCGTAAAGAAGCGAAGTATGTATGATAGCGGATGAGAAAAACTTTTATATGTGGGAATTAATCCAATTTTTGATAGGTTTTCAAAAGTTTTTACACCCGTTAAGCCGACTTTGTACTCCGTGTGGAGCTACGTTTATAGTAATCGCCCAGAGAAGATAAGGTAATGGTTGGTTTTGTTTATAATTATGTATTGAATATGGTTGCGATTATACTTATACTTTGATTCCTGTTTGCATGTACAGAGATCTTCGAATAGACACACTGTCTCAGATTCTAACTTTGGCGAATGTGCACGCGAATGCCAAATATATTGTAGTAGATGATGTTCGGGGAATGTTGATTTCCGGGGTAATGGAGAGACTGGGAGGTATGGGATCTCTTTTTCTAAAGATGTCTGTTGGTCATGTTGAATATGTGGTTTTCTATTTGACCAATTTCCCTGTCCAACTCAACGTAACCAAAAGAAAACTTTTAAATCAAAGGATATGGTTTTGTTTTGGGAATTCACGAGCACGAGACACCTAATTATGATATAATAAAGTACATGAATTTTACGAAGAAGATTACTGATTCACTAAAGACATTGTCGTGGATACAGGTCTTTAAAGATGACAATGAACGTAAGTCTGCGTTTTAATGTTTATTGGTAATCAGAGCTAAGGAACAATTAATTAATTAATTACATCTCTGCCGCAACAGAGGATTTCTTATATAAAGATGAATCGAAATTAGAAGAGAAAGATCTCGAATATTATTTGCGTAAGAAGATGCGATACGAAAGACTTAATGATGCAAGAGAGGCTCTTTGGCAAGGGGAATTTGATGGGTTTGTATGGCTCTATGCGGAATTTGAGATCTTTTTCAGCTACTTTTTTTTCACCAATATTGCAATGCAGTTTACTGGTCGCCAGTCAATATCAACCGAAGTCGATTCTAGAGGCTTTGCTTCCCTACGTAGCGGGATCGAGACCAATTGTAATATATTCTATACACAAAGAGGTAGGGGACGTTCCACGAATATGTATTATTCTAAACCTATCAAACTTATAATCACATACTATCCATTAGGTATTGGTAGACGCGTTCACTTATCTTCGAATGTCTAAACAGTGTATTAACCCCGAGATTACCGAAAGTTGGTTACGCAATTATCAGGTAAGTCCTAATTATAAAGTAAGCGTTTCGTATTTGTATTCATTCAATGACTTTGTGCGTTACTTGCGTCAGGTATTGCCTGGACGTACACATCCAGAGATGACTATATCCGGCGGTGGTGGTTATATCTTACACGCCAAGCGCATTATAAATAACGATGATCCGGGCTATGCTGGACCGTCTGTGGAAACTGTGAAACGGCAAATAGATAAATCATCTAGCAGCCAGGATCAGATGATGACAGACGCGATCGAGTAATATGAACAATTGAGTACTGTGACTCATTTGCGAGCACCGACTATTAAACAGATCTTACTGTCCGAATAGATATAAGCATCAGGCTGGTTTATTGACATGGTTGCAGCCAAAAGCCTGATCAACATAAAGATTCTCCACGAGTGAAACAATAAATGCCCGTGATATGACGTTTTGCGTAGTTCCTGTTACGTTCCGTTAATATCTTCATATGTATGTAATCAAACGTTGTCCACGTGTAGTATTAGTTTCAGATTGTTTTATAGTAATAAAATAATATTGACGTTCGCAATAAGGTAGATTACGATATCATGAATGAATACCTTTATATTGTCGCCCATAAAGATAACACGGAATCTTCACCTCCGGACAATAGCGTATTTATCTAAAAGAAAAGAGAAGAATAGATACAACATGTCACATTTGGATTATGCGGAAGATTCGCTTGCAATGATAATAACAAGCACACCTCAGGATCCCAGCAGATGCTTCTAACAACTTCAGTATGTCCGCCTTTCAACACCTGACAGAATTGCAATTCATTCACAGCTACATGTATTATGGAAATATCTCCCCTGTTGGCATCAATGAAGGGTAATGAGAAACGTGAGCACACATAATAAAGCATATGTTATGCAACAGCTGCTTACCCGTTGGATCCTCCTAATAAATATAGTCTCTGCGTATTATTATTGTAATAGCAGTCAATTGCGTAATCGATCGAACAGACTCCAGGTGATGAGAACGATCTAACATCTCCAAAATTACACAAGGCGTCGCTCTCTATCGACCACAGACCAAATGTTTCAGTATGCGTCAAGCAATAGACATATTCGCCTTGCGGACCAAAGTATCCGGCTTTATGTACTGTGGATTCCGAATTTATTACTGAGACCAATGCCTCGTCTTCGTCAAAATTACTTATGTCGTAATTACACACAATTCCATCCTCTGCTCCCGTCAACAAACGAGTGGCAGATATTGGGTGAAATTGAAGATTCGTGACATCGTCACTATGTGACTCTGTGAATTCGGTTATTATGGATGACGCACGTATATCCCTGTTCATCAGGTAAGGCTCAATTATGAGTACACAACAGTTAACAGTTTTATATCACATTTCATATGTAGCAATCACAAAGCCTATTCACCAAAAGATAATTTTGGCATCCTCCGCAACAAGCTCGGTTCCTGCCGCGAGAAGCGTCTCTGAGAAATTAATGTCGAAAGACAGCAATGGCTCAGCGTGCGTTGCTGTAGAAACGGCAGTTAGCATATTGTATATATCAGCAATCGAAAGCTCATTATATTATGTACCGTGATAAATTATCGAAGGTGTGTCGGTGGTCCTCAAGTCCCAAAATGCAATATGACCATCCTTTGAACTTGATATCAAGTAGAAATCTCCTTGACTCTTTATTTTTGTAATGGAGTCTTTATGAAAGGGAAGTACTCGAGTATTATTTAAAGTTTGACGATCATACAGTTTTATTTCGTTCTGTGACCCGGATACTATGTAAGAGGATGAATTCGCCGTTATATCGAAAATGTAGACGTCTGTTGTAGAAAATCGAGTCCTATATATAAGACTGAGTGGAGATACAATGTTGGCCATAATAATAATAATAATAATAATAAAGATTTCTCGACAAAGTGAACATCTGACGTCATGTGCGTTTGGATGACACAAGTAAAAATTCTATTCGCATTAAACTATCATTTTATGGAGAGTAAAAAGACTTTGTAGTACATATGCCCAAAACCTGGTCATTGTTAATATTAACACTAATTAATCTATTGGCAAATTTTGGTTACATCGCGACCATTCTTCCAAAAATAAGAACATAGTATTTCGTTTTCGTGGCTTATCTGACTGGGATTGTTTTATAAGGCGTAATATAAAGAAGGAGCAATTTCTCAACAACGGATTTCAGTCATCTTTTTTTTTTCTTTATTCCTTGAGATTATGTGTATCAAAGCCAAACGCCAATTTCTGAGATAGAGCCCCATTATAATTATCAGAACTTTTCAGCGCCCCACATAATCTTATGTCTATTCAATTCTTTATTCCATTGTAATTGAAAACCATGTTCAGCATACCATCAGGGCCTTTGCCGAGTAATTTTATTTTCATCAAGAGCATAATTAATCTGTTTATGGACTGCTTCATTTTAACATTAATATGGAATATGGAGCATAAATATTTTGTGTTACGAACTAGTCTTGTCCTTATATTGTTATATCGAATTTTTATTAAATAGAATTTTAATATGACACTCGAAATTCCGTCCCAGAGAAAAAGTCCGTTATAATTAGTGTCCGCTATATCGATAGTCCGTTATATCGACTTTCACTGTGCATATGTGCTATAATGGACAATTGGATTGCAGCTGCCTAGTAGCAATTTTGTTTCTAATCTCAACAAGGCACATAAAACATCCCTTGAAAAAACAGCTTGCAGTTTAAAGAATTGTCTGATTTTAATTCCTCACCGGAATTTTTTCGAATTATATCAAGGGTCCATTGATAATGCACTCTCCCTATATTTACTTAGTGGTTTGACACTCATGAACTTCTCTAAGTCTGTAGGATCTTGAAGACTCCACACACTAACTATTATGCACAATTTGATTTATGTGATTGAGACGGGATACGCGGTTCATCCAACTTACAGACATCAGGCTATTGATGTGACAGTTTGAACGCTTTCAGTGATTAGTGTTTCTTCTTCTATCCCTATCACTCTCGCTACCACTCTCACATACTTAATCATCGTGCCAATCAGTAATAAACAGTCACCTTCTACAAAGGTTACGCGAAATAGCTGGTCATTTTTTCATAACAACCAACGTGCGCTTCTACGGTTCGCTGTATACGCATTCATTATACACTTATGTTTTTGTGGCTATTTACAAAATCGTGTGTTGAAAGTTTCAAAAAACAATTGGTAGACACCTTGTGATGCTGCCGCCATGCTCAGTATGACGATCCTTATTTATTATTATTATGATACATCATCAGCAACACAAAATTTGGCTCGCCTGGCTGACTAGTTGCTATTGCTGCGAGAACTCGCAAGCGAGCCTCATGTTTCTTCTCCACGCGATCCACTCGGCTCGCTGCGCCGCAGTTCTGTTTGTTTATTTATTTATTTATTTAAGATTAACATGGACCAAATTCTTCTTCGATCAATAGATCCTCCAGTAGAATTCAATTCCCCTCCTCCCTACTAAATACTCTTCCTGGTAGATAGATAAAAACGGCTTACACGGGGCTCTCGCGAGCACCTCGTTGTGAATAAGCGAGTGTCACACTTTTTGGTTTTGCGTGTTATAAGCCGTAACTTTATTGTATTCTCTAATCTATATGTACTTTTTATTACTACCATCGATCCCATATATTTAAAAAGTTAATGTCCATTGACCCCATACCAGGCCCATTAGCAGATTTCTTTCTTGCAATTGCAAGTCTTTCTGTTGCAACTTGCGTAGTGTAAGAACTGGTTTTCTTACTACATTCAGCTGGACCACTTACAAACCAATCAGCATTTGTCAGAATTATCTTATCTAAAATTCCCAACACCCCCGATCCATTATTCTTAACAGGAATGCGTTTGCCCCTTGCTAAAAACTTTGTCTCATTCAAAGGAGGAAGAGAAGCTTCCAAATGCTTCCAAGTATGGAAGTCCATATTGGTTTTGAGTATTTCTGCCGCTCTGTGATGATTTTCGTTAAACTTCCTAAATGTCGCTGAATGCATAGCATCACCATCAATTGGGAAATCAGTAGCCATATATACATTACTTATTCCATAGTTTTTCTTAAGCTGTTGGATATAATTTACGAGATCATAGCTACATTCGGGCAATTTAGTTGAGTCAGCTCCTTCCATCCGCCAATGAATGGCCACATATGGATGCAGTGAAGCTGTTGCGGCCTTTGCTTGATCGACTAGATGATCAGCATATTCAGCCGGCGCAGGCAGATTACGAAGACAAGAATATCTGAGGTCATAGTATAGCAGTAGAACGTCCGATTCAACGGATTGAAGATTATCGACAATAAACTGTTCGACTTGAGCCCGCCGAGTGGCTGATTTGGACCAAACGGACTCGCGACTCGTCAGTAAACTTAGTGCAGTAGCGGTTCGTTCATCTTCGTCGTGATATTTCAAATAGTCAAACGGTTGCAAGCAAAACCGTTTCTTGAGTCTCTCGATATCAAGCTGTTCCGATGCAACTTGGTTTTGTTTAGACTTCTGACTACTCAGTAAGACAACTTTTGCGGTGGGTCTTCTAGCTCTCATCTCGTTGATCTCTTGGTTCCATGATTGAAATTGATCCTGCGTGATGAACACGGTCTTTGGAGAACTTCGTCGAAGCGATTCGATAGAGTAGTAATAATCAAACGAAAAAGACATACATCCACCCAGTCTTGCATTACCAACGTTGGGTAAGATTACTACTCGATTGCTTCGTTGAGCAAAACTAATTATATTTCTCAAGTGTTCCCGTGCTTTTGATTCTTGTTCTTTTATGACAAATGGAAATATAAATCGGCATATGGAGGAACCACAATATTTACGATTTATCCGTTCTTCGGTCATGCTGGACACTTCGGTTGTATTGCCGACATCTACTTCGAGAACAGACTGAATTGATAAAGTAGGACATGAAACATCACAGGATATTAGCATAGATAATCTTAGATATCTGATTATTCTCGTTGTATCGTCCGTAGCGCTATTGATCAGATGTAATATATGCTTACCGCCTCGTCAAAGCTATCTGTTGACATTATTTCTTCAACATATTCAATATTATTTTTATTGCTGTTGTAGATAGTTGCGTTCCAGACCAAGAGACAAATGGCGAGAATAAAGCATCGTATAAACCATTTTTGACGAAATGTTTGTCCAGAGACTTGTTTAAAAATATTATTATAAGCAGCTAATTCTATGTCTATGTATTGATTTGTTTTCGGCATATTGGGCAAGCCAAAGTCTGTGTATTCCAGATACACACAAGAAAAATAAAGAAGGAAAAAAAAAGTGAAGAACGAGTTAATGATGTATAGTCTATGAATCCATGTCAATGCTCTTGCCACCTTTTATTATGTTTACAGATATATAAATAGATTACAATAAGATCAAACAAAGACTTTAGAGTCTAAATCTGGCATAGTAGTGTAAGGTGTACTACCCTAGAATTCAAACTTATAAAATATTCGTTTGATACTACAATATAAGATAGGCTCGCCCGTAAAGAAGATCCATACAGTAAATAGAGATTCTTACCTAATAAAACCGGTTTTCATATATAAACCTCCTATGCAAAATCCTCCTATTTGTTTCGCAATAATTCGGGCGTAATTACGGCAATGTGCATGCAGCCTGCTTGGCAAAAATGTACGACCTCCCACAAACAATAGAACTGATTACTCAATACAACGTCTACTTCATTAGAATATTAATTGTGTGGTAGGATGAATCACCACATAATCTGACCCTTTTCTTTACGACGTTTGCAAAAAATATTATTGAAATTCAAGAAGGCAGCATTATGCATAGGAGATCGATATTATCCATACAAACACATAAACGAATGGATAAGCCTTTTCTCCCTACTTGGTACGCTACGAACGATATGAATTCATCAACATCAAATGAATGTATAATTATAATTGATACGCAATGAAAGTCGACTTTTTTCTTGGATGGAATTTTACTAATATAGACTTTTAATTAATTATTTGGCTCGATATTAATATTAATATAACGGATATACCCATTATTATACTATTAAAGCAATATGAATAATAAGATTCGATCGTGAAGCGCTATGCATAAATGCGAGTTCAGTTTTAAGTTTAAGAAGTTTTTGCATTCAAATATTAATGACTAGGTTATGTCACGTGTTATCGTAAATAAAAGACCAATTCTGGTAAATAACCGTTATACCATTCCTTATTTTTATTGGTGTTTCAACATCATGCTTCATCGTCACGGGGTAACTCGAGTCACACAAGTGATAATAATAACGATAAGATCAGATCGCGTCTTCCCTTCGTGACCCTCAAAAATGGAGTATCTTAAAACTGTGTTGTCGCATTCAATTTTTTCACAAGAAACTATCGAACAACAGGAACACATAATAAATATTACCAATAACGCCATCAATAACCTTCAAACTGCAAACCTTGGCAATGATGATATTTTACAAGTCTTAAACTTATTGATGATATCCTATAAAATATAACATATTGATAGCAGTTTCCATCCCAATATCGCATCTTAACTCTAAGCATGCACGAGGCTGCAAGTCCTCAATGTGTATATTCCATTCGCAAGTTTTCGTTGGACAGCATTAATAAGTTATTGCAGCACGACAATATATCAGCTGACTACATGGACGTTTTGAATTTAGTACTCCAGAAAGTAAGCCGACAACGTTAATTGATCAAATCATTATGGTATTCTTGATTCAATCCGACACTTACAGGGTTTAGATGCAAGTGTATTCTAACCATTTAGAGAAAACGATGGACGAAGTGCTGTGCGATACATCTACAACCACTATCTCGTTGACATTTGTACCTGTGAGTGTAATTTAAAGTCCATCTTAATTGCCCATCTTCTATCACATTGATTCTATATATATTTGTTTATTTAGTTTCATATGTCGTACCTTGACCTGCTATGCACTTGCATAACGAGGACACATTGTGTATTCAAGCAGTCACTCGACTATACTGAACTGATTATTAACTCACAAGAAAGTTCAGACGCGAGCATATTTGATTATCTACGCAATTGCACTATCAAGTCTGCTCGAGGAATACTCATGACTGCAAAGGTCGGTCTTTACATTCATATGCTGTACTAACAAAAGTGCCTTCAATAATCTTCGTACAGCACCTGCTGGGTCGCACAGAATTTATTAAGGAGGACAACCTCAGCCGAGAAATAACTAATTGGTTAAGAAAAGCTCACTCGACGCTGGAAAAGTATCTTATATTTCTTTTGGAGTATACCCTAAATATCGGTACCATTAAGGATGATCGAAGACCGTCATTATATCATGATATTGCCAATGGTATCTGCTAGTTGATTTCACAGTACTGTAATAGAAAGCAAGTTTCATAGCATTTTTTATTGTAGTTTGCAATACTCTTATCACCATAGCGGATATTGCTGCTGCCGACTTTCAATGGTACAATCTTTTATGGAAGTACTTTGTCAAATTATCTGTTCAATGCGATTGCCAATACTTTCAGGAAGCGATAACGGTTTCGAATCATATTATTCATCTGCTTTACTTTTCTTTGTATTTTCATGATGCTAACACACAAATATGCATATATAGCTGTCCCCTGTATTACGCAGTTTATGTCGTGAACTACACAAAAATCATGGGAAACTATTGTCATCTTTAGCTGGTGTAGACATAGCAAATAATGACATAGGAAGCAACAAACAGCTAGGACGACAGTTGGCTATCGTTAGATTTTATGTGGCCCATCTGCTCGATATAGCCAAATGCTACGCAAAGTTTATTGTAAAAGATGAGGAACGAATGGGAGAACTCTGGAGATGTTTAATTTACATCAGAAGGTAATCTTGGATATCAAATATCTTAGCTTCATGTTAATTAAAAAGCTAATGGTGCTTCTTAATAGCAAACTGCCACCGGAAAACTATACACGGTTTCAATTGTCAACGCAAGCAATGCGTATTTTGCACGATCGAATCGTTCCTGGGATAAACAATGTCTTTCTGGCTCTAGTGAATAGCCTGAAAGAAGAACATCTGTGTATAAAAGCTATTTGTAGCTTTATTAACTATACAATTACTGTGGATGAATCTTCCACTGCGGCTTCGATAGGGGAAGTGGAAATTATGTACGCCAAGATACAGTACCTACAGACAATACTACGGAATTTCTTTGGCTATCCAATCCAGATTCAAACTCGCCTTGTGTCAGAACCAACGAATAGTGAAACAGGGACACAAAATTGTTTTTTGCTAAGAACTTTCTTTAAACTTGTAGATGATTATTTCCTTGAATGCGTTACTACATCAGGGAATCCAAAGTTTAATGATTACTCCGAACTATCAGATTCGATAGACGAAAACACTCGCCCAGTCAATGACGCGCTGTACGTTCAAATAGTTGTAACCATAACTGTGTTGGGAAACATTCTGTCACCGACGCTATTTGTTGTTTGGGAAATAAGGCTGTTGGAAGCGTTACTACTGTCAAGAAGTCATCTTCTGTGTGGGATAATCTTTGATTGTTGGTGTTGTGTTGCTAGATCTTTGAATTCAACAGAGCTAGATAACCAAATTCAATTTCTGATAGATTTGGTAAGGATCTCGTTCGATATTTACTTTAAATGAAAGCTTATATTAATGCTGTGCCCATGGGCCTGTCAACAGCTTTCACATCTAGCAATCCACTCTCGTCCTCACCGAAGATTGCGAAGACTTATCAATCGCTTAACTTATTACCTGTCACCGGAAAATCAGGTTTGGCTTAAGATTAGTTGACAGCTCATGAGGCTGTATTTAACTGTATACAATGTCTGCACTAGTTGAATATCGCCGATAAGTACGCCATGAAATGCCTGAGTAGATATTGTACAGCAATTATTGAAAATGATGCAGATATAGATAAAAAGGTTTGACCATTTGTCAAAGTTTTACGATGCGATGGCAATCGTTCTAATGATATTTATATACTGTGCAGAAACTGCTTAGCGCGTGTGCGGACGCGTGGAAGTTTTTGAATCGATTGATGGACGAAGAGACATCATCACTTTATGATGTCTTATTTTCGATAGTTCGTAACTATAAAGATTAATGTTTTATTCCAGTATTCACGCGTATTAATTCTATGTATCCTACAGGCAGAAGTCATCCATCTCGTAAGACATATTACGAAAAATAGAGAAGTTGAATCTGGAATCAAAACTAGACTCATCGACCTGGCCACAGGGACTTTGCGAAAGATTGTGGGATTTGCTGTTTCTGAAAACATCGCAAAGATATCAAAGATGAACTTAGAGGTACAAACGTACACTACCGGTACTATTTACGTGTCCTTGATCATAACCATCTTTTTATTATTTGGTCATCGAAGCGACTTGTCCTTAGTCTCGAGGCATCCTTAGCATTGCTAACAAGCCTCCAGCCACTGTCTGCGACGGATAGTATGCACGTGAGTTGTGTTCAACTCGCACATTTTAGTAGGCATTTCTGCTGATATGTAAGTTTTTATTTAGACATTGGATTCGATAGCTAGATGGCTCTCTTCAAATTCGTTTTTTGCGGGCTGTGTATGCCTGATGCCTGTTTGCGGCTTCATAGGTAAATGTGCAGCCTTAGAACTTGGTGAAGACAATAAGGTAACCACAGAAATCATTGGTTTGACTATTGATGTCAAGAAGTAGAATACAGTTATCAGTTTCTCATTTGTTTCTAGATGGCTACATTTAATGCGTTTGCATTCATCTGTAACAAGCTATTACGTAATAGTCATTGGGTAGTTCAGCACGAGTCAATCGCACAAACAGTCGGTATTTGTACGTCAGTAATTTCTTGTCTCAAGGCATACCATTGCGCTAACATTGACTGTATGCCCAAAAGGTCTATTTTGTACAGCATACTCATCATCCAGAAGTTATACGAACTATAGTGCCACAGGAATATCAGGAGCTTATCATGAAATTTACCAAAAACATGGCCACCAATTATTCTATTAATAATAACATCAAACTAGAAGCAAGTCCACGGATTGCTGCATTTGGAGGGAACAACAGACGATCGCGCACCGTGAGGCTGCATAGTATTTCTCACGAGAGCATGCTATCATTACCCAGTCAATCGATGATGACACGATCCGCGCCATCCCTTCCGACGGATGACTTGATTGTCAGCATTCGCAAAGTCCGACAATATATACAGAAATGCAATCTGGTGGAGAGTGCAATGGAATTCAGTTCCGAGTTTATGACAGTTCTCACAGACCTAAATACGGAGTTGATGCAGTTTTTTCAAAAACACAATCACATTGAGACTTGAAAGTAGTAGCGGAACAAAAGGCACGAAATATTTCAAATGCTGGTTGCAAAGAGATCGCCGCGTGTAACACCGCATTAAAGTGTAACGATAATAATAACTACTTTTAATAGGCAATAATTTATAGTGCACGGCATACAACGGAAATAACAGTGCGCATATCATTTAATTGGACAACAAAGACACAACAGCAATATGAGGGCACCTATGAAGCCGCTGAAGATAGTTCACAAGGCATTGATAGCTCCGTAAATAAACTGCAAATTGGAAATTTACTCTGCTGTTGTGATCAATGGTTATGTTACTGTACTTACATAGTATTACGCAACGACACCACCACATGAGCATTTCTTGATAACATTTTTTTCGTTTATCGCATTGTAGAACAGTACACAACGTATTTATGATTCAATTTAAGCAGCTTTCCTATGCTCCTTGACATGCTTATCCTTACTCATCCGCTAAATATTACCTAGAGCTCCTAAGCTCCACTTTCCTTAACAAAATCCAGTCTCAGTCTCCTCTTCACTCTCCTCTTCACTCTCCTCGTCTAAGCAGCAATTCACCATGAGGACTGTCTTCGTTATCCCTCTTCTCCTCCTCATTCTCGATTTAGTCTCCGCCGCATCAGACTGGAGCGTACGTTAACAAATTATTCTGTAAGCGAACTAACACCGCACACAAACTAAATCTTATCAATTACTGACAGATTACCAATCCCATTGGCACAACAGTCTGGGCGTCCGGGCAAGACGGAAAGATAACATGGATCATCTTGACCAACAAGGATAAAGGCTTTAATGCCGCTGCACCTGACGTCCCCCAGGTTAACATCGGTAAGATATTGACTGATTCGTATTGATGAAAAGAAAACCGAAAATTTACGTATTTCTTGTTTATTATTAGACTTGATGGAAGGACAGTTTGAGAACGCCAACATAGCGGCACACGTTGCAACAAATGTTCCTGTGCAAGATCAAACGTATACTTGGGCCAACATTCCCGACTATCCACAGGGAAATGACTATTTCATTCGCATTGGGACTGACAAATGGTGGAGGTAAATAATACGGATACATATTGCAAGCCATACTAGTCTCGATGGGTTAGCCTGGTTACTGACCATAGCCACGTTTGATTTTCAGATATTCACATGCCTTTACATTTAACGGGAAGGGGACCGTAAAACCATTGGGCCAACCTGGTTGGTACTTTGCGTATAGCATTTGAGCTTTTTCAGGTCAACTGACTGAATTTATTTTTTTTTTTATTTTTTGCAGCACCACAACCCACGTATGCTCCTTCACCTGATGCGCCTGGGAATTCTACTACCCCTGGAGATAATTCGCCCGCTGGGACGACAGGAGGTGGGGGTGCTGATCCGAACACAAGCAACACATCCACAACCACTTCCACCACCACTAATTCTGCTGCAAGCGCAACCAACAAGCCATCAAGCAATTCGAATAATGCATCTGTTGCAGTGACAAACACCAGCGTCACATTATTAACAGCGATGTTGGCTGTTATTTGTGTGGCATTTAGCCTTTATTAATTTAAATAATAATTCGGGTCGGGAGACAACAATAGACATAGTAATAGATAATAAATAAACTGTTCAACTTCGAATCTATACATAACAGTTTGTAGTATTGCTAATATTGCAAATGAATTAGAATTTATGGTAGTTAGGAAGCCCATCGGAAGTTATTAACATAAGGAATGCATTAATTCGTCACTGCTACAAAATCCGTATCCAAAAGGCTTTTTTGTCATTATTTTTGTTATTGTTATTGGTACTAAATTACCTTGTTGTTGTTGTTGTTCTTCTAACAGTAAAGATCTACCCAGTTACCATAGAGATTTCTGTGAAGTAACAACGACCTTGATCTCATGCAATAACAATGCTAAGTGACAATATCATGCAATGCTTCTTTAGCACAACCAATTGCAATTCTCTTACATAAACATCTGTTTAAATGTAGTGTATTATGTTAATTGATAATTCAAAGGGTTCTTTAACCTGACGAACGAAACACTCTTAAACGTTTGGCCTATTCGTTTAACATACACTGTAGCTCACTGCGAATTTCCGTTTGCGATCAACTCATCCAACTGTTTAATATTAATGCGAGACAATAACGTGCCGTAAGTAAATCCCGCTTGTATTAAGTAATAAAACATGTACTGGATATAACTATCGCGAAAAATTTTTATTCACAACAAGGCGCTCGCTAAAGCCCCAGTTTAGCTACAGTCAAAGCTGGCTATAACGAACTTCGGTTATAACGAAGATCTGTTTATAACGAAGATTTTTCCAAGCCAATTATAAATAGTCATAATCTTAGCTATAAAATGTGTCCTTCGTTATAAGGAATTTCTGGTTATAAAGAATATTTTCTCTGGTCCCGTCGAATTCGTTATAATCAGCTTTGACTGTATCTACAATACATGCGGAGGAAGAGAATACAAGTCCAAACCGGATATAACAGAGTGGTTTTTTTTTTCTTAGTTACAAAAATTTGCATAACTCAACAGATATTTAAACGATTCCAGATGTTTTAGAAAGCTTTTAACGTACCTTTATTATAAATAAAAATTAATACAAAATTTCTATCTTCGTTCTTTCCAAAACAAGCTTACATATTATTTTCATTATAACACTAAGTTGTTTACCGTCTCAACTAAATAAACTTTAATTTATTATTATTGTCCCTTTGGCATTTGTTTTTCAACACTTTCTTGATTATTGTCATATGGTTTCTATGGAATTAAGGGTCTGGGCTATTGGACAGCCAATCAATAACCTGAATCTCCATTCTTGGTGTTGACAACATGTGTGCTTTAAATCATATTTCGGTAAGTGCTTTTTATTTCCTTCTGAGGCACGACGTTGCGTTACTAGTGTATTACTGGCTTTGTTCATATAATTCTATATTTTATCAATTTAAGTTGATTTTGACTGATCTTAGTATTAGTTAAAATTTAAAACCTAATTAGTAATTACCAGTATCCTGATCTTAGCTATTTTTGTTCGCTCTAAGCGCCAGTTCCTGTTATACATGCATTGGGCAGGTGAGAGAGCTGGGTTTGCAAAATATTGCACATCCTTATGTCAGTAAGCAAGTGTTTCAGTGTAAATGGTCCAAGAGCACAAGATACCAATTTGCATAACCTTTTAAGGATTATTTTCCCTCCTGTGTTCGACAGATTCTGTATGTCAGAGTTTTTAAGAGTATACTTAATTGTATGAAGAAAAATATTAGATTTTGGTGTATCTCCTTGGTAATTGAGTGTCATTAAGCCAATAATAAAGAATTGTTTGGTGCTGGGCCTCCGGTCGCGAGTTAACGATAATGCAAGTCCAGGAATGTCTGACAATCTGAAGTTTTAAACGTTTACTGAATCAGTAAATAGTATCGTGTTGGCAATACTCAACGCGTATCTTGTTTATTATGCAAAATTCCGAGAGCAATTTTTTTCGTAACACACTATATCAACAATTTACTACCGCAAATTTGAATATGATAACAATACGCAACGATGTTTTCGTTGTGACGCCTGTTCAAACAGAAACTGTATTATCTGTAGAAGTACGCATCGAATGTCAAAGTAGTTTGTCGTGCGTATTCCATATAGTCTGTGAGCCTTTTTTTACCCTCAAATTAATAAGGGCATTTATAGCAGAATACCCAACGTTCAAATTCTTTTGCATAATGTATGCAAGCGCATCATCAAACCATAGGAACCTCAGAGTTTGTCATCATTCGCTCTTCAAAAGAATAATACTATCCACAATTGCCTGGAATAAAACGTTCTCGATACTTGTAATAGAGCGAATATATGCTGATATGTTTGCATTTTTGTCGATTCCATTGGCTCATCTATTAACGAATGCCGAACGATTCATCAATTTCATCAAGCTACGATTTACTCCCAAAACGAGAAAAGATTATCGAATTTTATTACCCAGAAAACTTCATTTAGTCAAATTGCGGTTCACTGTGTAGAGCAATTTACATATCCATGCAAGCATTTTTTGGCAGCAAACGAGAAGAGAGAAAAGTTATAAATTCAACTGGTGACTAAGACTAATCGCATGATAAAATCAAGGCTTCCAGTTCTCTGGAAAGAAACAAACGATGGGATTGTAATAATTTTTTGCGAATTAAACAATTCGCTAAAGTATAAAAGATGCTCTGTATTAGTTTAATATATTTAATGAGACTCGTAATTGTCAGTGCCTATTTGCTAAGACAAGAAGCAAGTTCCAAATAAAGCTAATTCTCAGGTCTCTTATATTGATGCTCTCTGGATACGATGCGTATTAATATGTCGGTTATTATATTTAACAACATGCCTGTCTTAGCTCATCACCAATGCCAACTAACGTAAATAAAAGCGTCACCTTTGATTTTGCTACGCATTCCAACATAGTCGAATTGTAAAAAAAAAAACTAAATTTTTGCTACCTGCTCAGTTGTTTGTTCAAATTATATGAATACTTTTGAAACGAGGAAATGTGTTATTATTCCGAATAATGGAATTTTGATGTACTGTATTGTATCCGGCGTTGTCGATCTATTGTTCATAAAGAAGAGCTTGCAAATTGTCTTTGCCGGCCCATGACAATATCTTGAGATTGTCGTAGCTACAATCAGTTGAATCATGACTGACAAGAGTGATTCCAAACAAATACATACGTTAGTTTGAATCATTGCTATTATACTTTCAGCACAAGTCCCTTCTAAGTATAGATTTTGAAGATCACCTTTGTATTAATATTTCAATTTAATGGCAGAACCTAATACTAGTCATCGTAATACAGTATGTTCTAATGCTATTTTGTTCGAATAGGTGTCGCTTTACAAACGAGTCCTGTAAAAAAATACAAGTAATTATAAGCGAGCTTTGTTAACGTAATCTTCGATGCGGGATATTAGTTTTTAGTATGTTATAATGATCGATCTGTCGTTTTATTCTGCCGATCAATAATGCCAAGACGGAAAAATTAACTACCTTTGTTGAGATACTGCTCACGAATACCTCACATAACTCTAATTCAAGCCAGTCGTACAAGGTCTTGAATAATCGACACTCTCCGTTAACTGACAAGCTTTGCAAATATGCGAGAGACACGGTTTTTACTTGTCAAAAAGTCATTCTATTTCATACGCTCTGAAATATTATAGTTTAGTTTCGGATCAAGGACCTTTATCGGGCATCCTAACGCAATCTATTGATCACATATTGTATTGTTGCATTGCCCAATTTGGCGTGTTGACATTAGCCCGAAAACATTTCGAGTGATAGTAAAGTACATGAAAACGTCGCGAACAGATGTGCTGACATAAGCAGCTAGCGGAGCTTGTTAATAGGCTTATCTCAGCTCTCAAAATGAGTATTGTATTATAGGCAATTATTACTTTGGTTTAATGGCTTTTGATAATTTCTTTGGAATCACGTCCTGTGCGTATAAGCATTTTTTACCAGAATAAATATCGCCTTACGAGCTTGACGCATTTGCGCAAACACAATTCGACAAAGACAAAATTGAGATCACTCACATAAATAAAAGAGAACTCGGTTGTCAGTTGTGTTTACGAAATTGCGATGTGGGTCAGATTAATAGGATGAGTAATGCAACTGGGATGAGAAAAATTCTATGATTATTATTATGGAGAAGACATTCTCTTTCAGTAAAGTAGAAGAAAACAAAGTTAAAATACTTTACTAACATTCTGTGTGTGGAGGGAGTGGGGCCAAATACCATTGCATTGCAAGACATACATTTGTTCTATACGTTCAAGGTGTTTAATTTTGCCATCTGTCCTCTCACCCAATAGGTGGTTGTTGATGTGATCGGCTGACATTGTGAGACTGCGTTGAGATGTACAGTATATAATGGCTAATTATAGTCTTCGTAACACGTTATTAGACAAGTGTGTAATACACTACCAATCAACCATCATCTCGTTCGAGACAATATTAACAATTTTTTTCATATTGTCGTCGTTACCCGTGGATTGGAGATAAGAGCGGTTAATGTTACACATGATGGAATATTCGAAATTGGGGAGATAAAAGAAACCGCACTTATCACAAGAACAGCGCATGTGAGGCAAACAATATGGAAGATATCAGGAGCATCATGCCTATGTATGAAGGCGTATACGTTTCACGAGAGCAAGCCCTCTTGGAACATGATAGAGTTAGGAAGGAAGGGATTGTATCGAATAGATTAAATAGCCCCCTCTTGGTTGCTGGAAGGAGAACAATACTGTTGTGCAAAAACAATAGACGACGATCGACTACGGAACCAATAATTCGTATTTCGGCGGCGTACTTGACAAAAAAGGTTTGATTTTGTAGCACAACAGCAAAGTTTACTCATCTCATACAAGTTTTATTCCGCAGAGGTCCGAGAACAATCATTATGCAAAGATTTGCACTAGCCCACAGACTAACCAAATAAAATGTTAATGGCAGAATATAAGCCAATTGACATATGATTCACTTATTACTGTGAACAGTAATGGGATTATTCAAGTAAGTTCTTCAAGTATTGTCGTTCCCTCATTGTATACGTAGAGCCAATAACTTGCATTAATGGAGAAATGATGTAATGGCGAGCAATACTATGAATGCTTCAAGGGATTTTGCTTTGTTGGGAACTTAATTTTAAATACAGGTTTTTTTGGTGTCATGCCTAATGAAGATGAGAATGAATCGGCAATAATAGTATATTACGATTATTATTATATTCACAACTTTACGAACTACAAGAAAAGGCTTCAAACAAACAGGAAATAGATATGTTTCTCGTCTTAATATTAATCAACAAATAAAGAAAAATACACATTCGTAGAAATTCCCTACCTTGAAGAATCGGTGTTACCTGCAAGGTGTAGTTTTACTAGACATGTTTTACTCGAATATAATAACAGGGAACATTAACATTAACATTAACATTAACTAGTTCAACAGCATTACACATGGCTACATTAAAGTGCCCGGGTTAAAATCAACGTTTATCCAATTGTTCTTTGTCATTGTCATTGAACTAGTTGCACTAATACGTAGTAGGCATCCAATTACTGGGGGAAGCAACGCTAATACCTAATTATGGGGTTAATAGATATAATCTGGTTCATTCATGGGTAAATTTGTTTGTTCCACAAGAGATTTAAATGTTCCCAATTGAAAATAAAGTTTGGTATAAGAAAAAAGGGAAATCGTATGACGAATAATATCTGCCCCATCGTGCTATTATACATTTACCCCATCGTGTGCTATATTATACATCTACTTGCTTCTCTTACTATATTATTATTAATACTATTACAAATACTCTAATCCCATAGCGAGTGCCTTGTTAGCGATACTAATTATCTACTACTTTTTATATGTAATTATTCGCATTAATCGTATAATACACATAATAATAATACAAATGTATAATTATATGATTGCCCAATATCATAGCATTGTCCGGTAACACAACTTTGTCATTATCACAAATATCCCATTCAACCCAACTACAAACAATATGAATGAAAATCCATCGCTCAAGGATTGTTATCCAAACTATTATAAATGGAACACGAGCGTCTTCCTTCTCCCTTTAACTAATTTAATATTTACGAAAAAGTAACCGCTATTAGTCCTTGTTCTCTCTCCCTCTTCATATCATCATAATAATACACTACACAATGAACACACAAAACACACACACACAACTTTCTAAAACTTCACGCATAGGAGTAATTGGGGCTGGTCCGGCGGGCGTATCATCCGCATATTTTCTGCGCAAGCAGGGATTTAATAACATCACACTCCTTGAGTCCGCTCCCCACATCTCCGGCAAAAGTTCTTCATTTGAAGTGGGAGGGCGTGGATATGACGAGGGGGCCTTGATGGTGGGCACAAATTATCACAACATTCGCGAGCTCGCCTCAGAGTTATCTTGTCCCCTCGAGCCGTTTAAAGGGCGTGCATTAGACATTGACCGAGGTGTTCTCATCCATGAGGACACCTCATTAATCTGCGAGTACCAAAAATTATTGCCCCATATCAATCATTATTTAGGGGAACGTTCCCATACCCAAGCGGTCGCAAATCCTGGACACGGAATCTTAAGTGAGGAGCAGTTGTTCCCTCCTATCGGGCAGTACCTTACCGCAAAGCAATTAGAGTACTTGCGAGATGCATGGGCTCTTGCATTCACCTCAGCTGGTTATGGGTACATGGACGCTGACGTCCCTGTTGCCTATTTCCTAAAGTTTATCGAGGCCTCGGAAAATAAAATTAGCTATTTCCCCAATGGCTTCTATAAGCTGTGGGAGAAAATGATTGAAGTAAGTAGCTGTCTGATAATCAAAATACCTCTCCCATATTGTATTACATACTAACCATCCCATTGTATAGGGAATCAACGTCATAACGCGGGCACACGTGACTAAGGTTGACCGCTCACTGGCGAAAGCTAACCTAGGTCCGATTTTGGTGACATACCAGCAATCGCCGTACCAGCAGACGGTGGCGTTCGACTATCTCATAATTGCCACTAATCCGCGCCAGACGGAACCTTTTCTCGATTGCACGCCTGATGAGGCGACCCTATTTCGACAGGTGGTCTACTTCGACTATTATACAATAATCGCCACCGTTGAAGGTTTATCCACAAAACAGGGGTTGACAACCATTCCCAAATACTGCCAAGACAAGACGTATGTGGGCCACATCACAGCATTCTACTGTGCCTACGAGGGCATTCCAACATACAGCTTTTATGCGTACGGCGCCGCCGAGGTGCCCCAAGAGAAGGTTATTGAATACTTTCGTGAGGATATCGAGAAAATGGGCGGTTCCCTTAAAGGGATCCACTATACTAAGCATTGGGACTTTTTCCCGCACGGTAAGCTTGTTGCACTACTTGTTGCATTGTCTCCGTTAACAGAGTAAGTGACATGGAAATCTCATTTCGTCTTATCTTTAATAGTTAATTCACTAAGCATGGCGAGGGGATTTTACTCCAAAGCAGAAGGTCTCCAAGGTCAACATAATACTTTTTATACTGGATCCTGGCTCGATCTCGAGCTAACTGAGAATTGCGTCCAGTATAGCAAAGACCTGGTGATGAGATTTTTCTCCGATACTCCTAATCAGTCGCTACATTTACCAACCTCGCCTCCGGTTGAAGTCAAACCACCGTCCATGATGACCCTCGGTCTTGCACTCAAGTCGGCTGCTGAGAAATATCCTGAGAAGGCCGCATTCACCTGGGTCAATGCTAGTTTAAAAGAAGAGCTGCAATTGACGTACGCTCAACTTTATCGACAGGCCAGATCAGTGGCTCAGTTCCTTGTAACAAAGGGACACAAGAAGGGTGACCGAGTACTGTTATGTTATGCCCCCGGGCTTAAATTCCTTCCTATTCTCTTCGGGTGCTTTATGTGTGGTGTTATTGCCGTCCCTGTTGCTCCACCCAACTTGTCAACCGCGCAGAAGGACATCGCGCGCTTCACGTACTTGACGAGCACTACAGGCGCTCGCATCTGTTTTTCGGATAAAGACTACCTACAATACACCAGGTTTTACGCGTCGAAGGCCTTGGTGGGGTTTGTCGATAAGATTAAGTGGCCAGAGGGTCTCACGTGGATTGAAGGAGAAACTATCTCCCCTAAAACGCTCTACGAGGAACGATTAATAGCTCAAGTCGACCCGAATGACGTTGCCGTATTACAATTCTCCTCGGGCAGCACCGGGGATCCTAAGGGGGTCATGCTAACCCACAAGAACCTCCTACATAATGTGGATCTCATGCAAGCAGAAACAGGGATAAATGCAGAATCTATCTTCGCGTTCTGGGTCCCCCAGTTCCATGATCTTGGTCTCATCGGAGGATTTCTCAATACAGTGAGAGCTGCCTCTCGCTCAATTGTCATGTCGCCACTCACCTTCCTGCAGCGGCCCGAAGTGTGGCTGCAAATGATTTCAAAGTACGAAGCCAACTTTACGGCAGCTCCAAATTTCGCATATGAACTCGCAGCGCGGAAATGCTCAGACAAGACGCTCGAGTCTCTGGACTTGAGTAGTCTTATTGGTGCTTTTAATGGGGCTGAACCGGTACGTTGGTCAACGCTCCACGTGTTTGCGGAAAAGTTCGCGAAAGCGGGCTTTAATCTGTCTGCATTCAAATGTCTGTATGGCCTCGCCGAGCACTGCGCCTACGCGGTTGGGTTTCGGAATACCCATGGCGTACCAACGGTTATTGACGTTGATCCTCAGGATCTTCTCTCAGGGCGTGTGACAATTCGGTCAAATCCTTCTATTCCGAATAGAATAGTCGCCACAGGCGTCCCCAATACGTCGATGCAGGTAGAAGTGAGGATAGTAGACCCAAATACGAGACTATTGTGTCCGCCGAACGTTGTCGGAGAGGTTTGGCTATCGAGTCCGAGTGTAGGCGAGGGATACTATGGAAAGGAGGAGTTATCTGAGGAAGTCTTTCGGGCTAAACTACATAATGACGAGGATCAGGATCGGGGTTGTTTCCTGCGCACAGGAGACCTTGGCTTTATGCACAAAGGCCAATTGTTTATTACGGGACGTGTAAGTAAAGTGTTAACGTTTACCCTTGTGTGCGCAATAATAAATAGTTAATTAACTTTTGATATCTCCATAGCTTAAGGACGTCATCATAATAAACGGCAAGAACCATTATCCCCACGACATCGAGCTCACTGTGCAACAATGTCACCCTCGCATTCGACCGGGTTGTGTGGCCGCTCTTCATCATCATGATCCATCTCGGGGAACCGATACACTGGTCATCCTTGCCGAAATCAGAGATGACCGCGAAAAAGTTGAACTCGACGCAATAATTCATGAAATCAGTCGCGTGGTGCCCGCGAACCACGGGTTATCAGCCGAAAGAGTAGCCCTATTGAGGGCCCACAGCATCCCAAAAACGACCAGCGGCAAGCTGCAACGAGCACGAACTAAGGCAATGCTAATGGCTGGCGAGCTAGATAAGAGGATACTCCTTAGTGATGGTAATTTGGCAGAAAAGACAAAACCCCGCCTGTCGGTGTCAGCATCTGTTGAAGTCAATTTAACCCTCGCCGAAATAAGCGAAGTGATAAAGCGGGGAGTGCAAAAGGTCTCTAAACTCGCTCCACCTGAGGTCGACGAGTCCGCCAACATAATAACGGCGTACGGTTTTGATTCCTTAGCGGCTGTACAATTGACTGCTTCCCTGAAAGATGATTTCAGGGTTGAAATACCCCCGACGCTACTCTACGATATCCCGACGGTGGAGGGTCTCGCAAAACATGTCGCTAAACTGCTTTCTGCCCAGAAGGCAGAATCGGTTGTAACTTCGCCCACATTTGCCCCGCCGGAGTCACCATTTACTCCTCAACCCTCGCTGTCCGAAATCGAATCCATTCTGGGTACCCATGTCCAGAAAACGTCGCGTATAGCGGCGAAACTTGAAAAGATAGATCGAAAGGCGAACATTATTACAGAATATGGATTTGATTCCCTGGGGGTGGTTCAGCTCTCAGCATTAATAAGGGCGAGCTTCCAGGTGGAGGTAGCTCCTGCTGCGGTGTATGATATATACACGATTAGTGCTCTTGCCGAGCATATATACTCACTCATGTCGCCTCAAAAAAAACGAAGACCGGTTGTTCAAGATAAAAAAGAGATATTAAGCACGAAAGCAATGCCGCTTCTTGTTCCCCTCGCGCCAACGAACCCTTCCAACAGGAATAACCCCGCCTTATTCTGCATCCATCCGCTGCTAGGAAATGTGGCAGCGTATGTCCACATATCTCGTGTGATAGGTATTACTCGCCCTCTTTATGGCGTTCAATCACCAGCAGATTTTCCCCCCGACATCACAATTCTTGCCAAACGGTACGCCGACGTCATACAGAGAGAACAACCTTCGGGTCCATATTATCTGTGCGGCTATAGTTATGGTGGTCTAATTGCCTGGGAAGCAGCTAAACATCTGGCTGCGTTGGGCGAAAAAATCGGAGGATTATACTTAATTGATGCCCCGAGCCCGATTGCTCAACCGGTTAAACCCATTCGCGAGGATAAGGAACCCCATCTAATATGGGAGGAGGAGATTGAACAACTACTGTCTGATGTGGACAGCCAATGGATGCTGAGAAAGCGAGCAAGCGACCCAGAACAAATAACCGATTTAAAACGTTTGGTCGGAAAACATATACGAGCGATGTACGCCCACACCGAAGACATCTCCACGCTGTCTGCCGTACAGCCATATCCCATACATTATTGGAGGGCAAAAGATCTGTCCAAGACATCTTCCCTCCTTTTGGATCATCCATGTTTCCATGAACCCAGTTGGGGTTGGCGAAAATACAAGGGTAGCATTACCTTTTACAATAGTGTCCCGGGGCACCATTATTCGGTGCTTTCGGAAGGTAACTGCCAAAAACTGGCCCGAGAACTTGACAGAGCTCTACCAAAGTCCAATAGACGTTCCAGCGCCGAATTACGGCCCCTGTTGCTCGAGAAGAGCGCGAATAGGGATCGTTGTAGTTTAAAAAGTTCGAAGAGGTCGCCACACAACATTACGCACTTTCTCAGTGCGAAGGTGCCGTTATACTATGTGATCGCAATCACTATCGCGATTTCTTATACTATGCAGCGATTAACCACGATAGTGATATGAAGATTTATATATCGTTGGCATTCTAGACTTGCATCTTCTCGAACCTACATCACATTTCTCTGTATATAGTATTGTTGGTAAAATTTTGCGGTGGGGATGGATGTTTAATCAATTCTGTATTTATTAACATTAGTTCTTTTCCTTATGACATGTAATTAATAATAATAAAGTGTGTTCAGCAATCAAAATAATCAATGACAATCAGTGGCAAGACGTTATAATATGACACTCGTTTCTTAACGTAAGCAGATTCCTTTGATTCTGGTCACTCGACCGTTATTATAAATACTACGAGCATCTTACCACGATCAACAGTTTGTTCTTTTGCTTGCGGCTCGTTTTTACTCTTAAAAGATTTATATGTAAAATACAACGATGGACAAAGATTTCAGTATTCGCTCGAGCGTATTAACTAATACTAATCAATATTGAAGTTTAAAGTTTCACATTGCAGTGTCTTCTTTCGGTTATTACTTCTAAAAACATTTTGTTAGAATGTTTCCTTCTATCTCTATCGTGTCACCTTTAAAGGTGCCTTCGAATGATAGAACAGATTTAAAATTTTATTTTCTTAGCGGTATTAGGACACAAGCATTAAACGATTCCTCGACTGAAAGCTGGACATAAAAAAGTTTCTCGAATGAAAAGCTTAGGGAGGGTCGTTGAAAAACTGGCATTCGAAAGTTCTGGTCACGTTTGTATATTTTTCCAAATTTCAACGTGTTGAATTGAAGTTATTGATGTTAATTTAATACAATCCGAAATTTACTTTGTTTTTATATTATACTTTTTAAATTGAGAGGTAATAATAAAACACCAAAAATTTTACTTCAACCATAATGACAAGGTTAATTAAATTAACACCTTTACCTAATTTATCGAGAATTACTATCGCTATATTATCAAATATGTAATTTGCGTACAGTGGACTCTCCCTAAGTGCATGATTCCTAAGTTGCATGATTCCTAAGTTGCATGATTTCCAAGTGCGTCATTTCTCCAAGTGCAAGAAATAATCGGGTCCCATGTTGGGACCTATGAGATAAGTGCGGTCCCTATTCTGCTGATCAGTCGTATCTCTTTAATCTTTTTAAAGACGAACAAGTAAAATTGCTTGTTCCCAAATACAAAGACAATAATCAAATGCTACCCATGTAAATGTTGCTCAATGGGGTTAAGACAACATTTAACTTAGACATCAACGTTAGACGTTCACTGAGGCGAAATGACGTCAAAGAATGTGAAAATGTCTAATTCCAAAAAGATCACTTGAAAATGCAATGTACAAATGGGTCATACAATAACACATTAACTGATGAAATCTTAAAAGGAAAAGCGGAATAAATCAGCAAGTTACAGTGTGTTGCAAAAAAAAAAATGAGAATTTTCACGTAAAATAAAATGCTTGTATCTCGATCTAAAAAGTGTAAAATAGGAAATGATCGCGATTATCAAAAGTAGATTTGGGCAGCGTTCACGCGTTTTTTCATTGTACACTCTTTGAGTTAGCCCAACTCGTGATGTTTGTTTCGAAGCAAGAACAACAGCGGCGAGTGATATTACATTTATGGGATGAGGGTGTATGCCATCCAACAGTCCGGATTTGAATCCAATGAGAACCTCTTACTCTGGCACATTGTAAAGACCAGAGTGGAAAAGCGCATGCCAAAAAACTAGAGTCATTTATGATGGAAGAGTGGGAGAATATTCCAAATACTGTTCTAGTTAATCTTGTAGAATCAATGAAAGAACGTTGCGAGTTGATAATGGAGAGCGTATGCCATATTAAATATATATCAATAAAATTTGTTACTTTCTAGCTTCCAAATAAGTTTATTCATGAAATTTTGTTCAAATTTTCATTCTCGCTTTTTTTGCAACAATTGTACAACGGAGTGATACGTTCCCCAAACAATCTATCTACGGTAAAACAGTGCAAAACTATTCACTAAGAAAACCGACGAAGGAATGAGAGTTAAAGATGTTATTATCTGTATCAAAACGGGCAAGTGTCTTTTCGTCGGCTCGTAACATAGTGGTTTCACTATGTGTTCCTTCGTGGCCTTCTTAACCATCGCGAAGAAGGCTAAAACTGATGGTGTTAAGTGAAATTGTGTAATAGCTACTATGACGTTTAAAGAGGCGAATTACGATTATTATTATGGTTTACCGAAAAAATTTATGTCACGTTCCGATTGGATACAACGAAACGACTCAACATTTGCCGGAATTTACTATCGAAGGAGTAATTCAACTACATCCGAGTATGGATAACGTCTCGACTCGTGTTGAGTGATGGGAATTTCGCTTGCTAGTTATCCGACTGTTATCAACCTTTGAGAGCGGTCACAATATTATTGCTATATAATTCACCGAGCCGAAAGTTAACTCCGATGTCAATTAAGAATATCGTTTAACGTTTACATTTTCACCGAGTTACTTGTATTCTGCCGCATCTAGATTACGCTACTTTAAATAACTTTTATCGCACGACTGTATTAACCGTTTGTTCAGGAAATACTTCGGCTAAAACTGCTTTAATTCATCCCGAACTTATTTTTCATAGCCAGTCTACGATATTAATACCATTCTCAACCTAGCAGCTCTGAATGAGTGCTTAGGATTGTTGTCTTAATTGTTTTAATACATGGACTCGGCAATTGCAGTAAAGCAAAACCAATGGTGTTTTCCTGCGAGACCCCCTGCAAATTGGGTTGCATAGCAGCTAACCCCTGCAAATTGTATTTATTACTATTTGTATCGAGTTTTAAGTCGGAGTATGTCACTTAAACACGTACGTAATTCACTAAAACTCATGTGTCCTTCCGCCCAACTCTTTGCGTATTTTTCCGACGTCGTTCCTTCTTTGCCTATAACCACCTCCTCAGCCGACATACCTACAAGCGAAGCTTCCGTGATAGACGCGTCTATACCAACTCGAACAACCAGCAAAATGCCCGTTTCTCCTCGCAAAACACACGCTCGACTACGACCTCAATGTATACATAACGATTCTGTTAACCAACTTACTACCCTAATGCCGAGTTTTACGCTTCCCAACACAGATGCGAAACTTACCGAAGACATCCTTCACCGTGTTACAAACTTTGCAACACCGCCAGCATTCATTCATCCTTGTCAACAATATGTATACTTCAATGGCGAAAACATTGATAGATTTTCCTATCGCTATGGTTTCGTACGCGGTCTGTTTGCGGATACATACTTTACAGTGGCTAACTACAACATTCGCTTTTGCTGCCACGCGTATGTCCTCGCACAAACTCCATTTCTCCTCGATCAAATGCTCAAGTCATCAACTAGAGGCGAAATATCATTGGACATAGTGGACAGTAACATAACATACGAATCCATCTGCTTCGTTATTGGACATTTATACGGTATCGAAGGGGATGTATTACTGACCTTGCATCATGCACCGGGGGTATTAGCATTTGCATACATGATGGATGTGAAAGACATATGTGAGAAAGCGTGTGAGATAATCAAACAAAAAATAAATGAAGAGAATGTCGAAAGGTTTGTGAAGTTTGTAGAGGGAACGAAATATGGGAAGTATACGGAGGAAATTGAAAGTGCAGTGGAGACATATTTGACAGTGGAGTTGGGTGGTATAGCCTTTCATCAACCTTTTGAAATAGACAATCAGGAGAAAGGAAGATCAATAGACGGTGACTGCGGAGCGTGGAGAAATGGTCATATGAGTTGTTGGGAGAAGAATTGTTGTGTCAACAAGACAGGTTTTAAAGGGGCTTGTAATAGTATTTCATCAACATTTACAACCTCGGGTTCGTCTATTACGTTGTTAGGGACGTATACCAACCCAAGGAGTTATATACGGAAGATCCGCTACATTCCGAAACCACTACTTTCAAGTCATCCTTTTCCCTCACAGATATTCTATGACGGTCGATATCAGCCTATTCGCAACCCCCTCTTATCTCCAAAGCCTTCTCTTAAGCAAGCCTCATCTGCCCATAAGAAGTCTGTACAATGGTGTTCTAATCTACATGATTCTGTACTCAATAATCACCCTCCATACATCGATGTCCGTTATCTGCGTACTGCCAATCGCGTAATTAAACCTGGATACGAAAAGCTACTTGATATCTATTCCAAACTTCCCTTCAATTGGATGAAACGATGCGTGGAATCAAAAAACTTGGGAATTGATTTTCCAGTGAGAGACAAATTAGCTCAGGACGTTGTAAAGAAAAGGGCCTGTGAGAAAATTGGGGGGAAAAGAGAACGAGTGGAGTATAAATTTGGGGTTGGCTGTGGGTCACACGTTGAAATCGTACAGGCCAAGAGCCAAGGGAGGGGTGCATAAGAATTTATTGAGCAAATAGTAGATGAGACTAGCTGTCATTGTATGTGATCTCGCGTAAGAACAGCCCTCATATTGACATCGGTTGAATCTAGCAAAGACCATTTGCTTAATAGACTGGACATTATGTGAATAGTTTGCATTTCTGCCTGAACTGTTTAGAAGTGATTGTATTGTACCTTTAGATGCGATAGATTGTTTTTTCGGAAACCCTTGTCCGTATTTGCTAGTTATTGTATTTTCAATGTAATAGGATCAAAATTTTAATGTAAATGCAACCAGCAATCACACAAATAAAAATTTATGGCATTTTCAATAACGCCTCCACAAATTTCTTTGTTATATTTCCATGCAATTGGGAAAAGAGACTAAATCGATAATCCGGACGCTCTTCTTTGTCTTTACGATTCGGAGGAATTCGGAATAATGAGATGATGAGGTTAGGCCTGCTTTACTGCCATCTTCTTTATACTCGAAAACTAGAATATTAAGTCACGTTGTCAACGCGCATACTTAGTAAACCAAGAAAATAGTTGTCTATTGGTTATACGGTGATATAATGTCGGAACTTTTGTCATAGGCGTTCGCCATACTCTGTTACTTCTAGAGTCAATAGAAAGATATGCAGATCTAATACCGTCTACTACTACCCATTTAGTACAATTTCTGCCTTCAGTATGAAAATGGGTAGTTGGTGATTTAGGCCGAGATTGAGTTTTTGTGTGGGCTATATTAATATTAATATACTTGAGATTTCGAATTTTGTAGAATAATTTGATGACGCTTGTCGAATACTTCAAATTTGAAACTAAGGATAGAACATACTTTTACGAGTATACAGCTTCATAATCCCCAGGAATCCCCACAATTTTACATAATAGCTTTCTATTCAATTGAGTTTAAAAGTAGCTCCCAAAAACTTACCTTGTTTGTTCGAGTCTCTTGTGAATAACTATGACGAAAGTCAGTTAGCAAGATGTGAGACTAAGCAGACTCAAAATGGGGCGACATGCAGCAGCTAATGTTGCAGCGAGAGAATAAAAAAAACCTGCCTAAACTATCTGCATTACTTGACTCGTTAGAATTACTCATTGTGCGAAGGGTACTATAACCAAATTGTCATTAATAAGTCTAATAATAAACGAGTTACAATTACTAAAACAAATAATTCAGTCGTTTAGATTTAGAAGAAAAAGGACCGAGACTCTCTAACGATATCGAGTTGTTACGATCTGAAAAACTTTTCGGATTTTGGAGTTCTAGTATCAAACCGATCCCATATTCAGATTAAAGTATGAACAAATCTTTTTATTTGCAAGCGCTTATTAACTTTTGTACTAGAGTTCGTTTCAATAGGTCTTTATTAAGAGTTGCGGCTAGACGAATGTTTGCACCGATTTGGTCTGCTCGGCGGCATTCGATTTATCGTTTAATCGAAATTGCCGACGAAGAACAAAGGCTACGATTGAAGTCTGAAATTCGTAAGTTGATTCAAGAAAGAGTTGTGACCTCGCGATCTAAACTTCCAAACTAACATCAAGGCCACGATGCAGTGCTTGAAGAATTTAACAAAGAACTCAAATCGTTAATTCCTTCTGCGGCATTGCATGTAATTGCACCAAATTTGTAAAACTGCGTACTAACTTTTTAATAGAATAATCTGAAAGCGAATCACACAGGCCTCGCACACGTCCTAGTTTTATCACTGATTCCGGGTTCAGATAAGGAAGACACAGTTCGTAAACCCAAATGCTCCTAATCGTGTTTTTCATGATATGAGTGGTGAATTTGCACTAAGTGATTCAGTGAAATTGCACTTATGAAGCGAATAGACTTTATTAAAACGAGGCTAATTAAGAAAACATTGTTCGGCACTTGGCAACCAATTCCAATAATTTCTGAAGAAGCGAATAATCAAAAAGCTGAGAGACCATTAACAAAATTGCAACTTTATCCATTATTAATACCTCTTTTATCAAATAAATATCGTGGAGATTTGATAATATCCCAGGAATATTTATTATTATTCGAAATTAGTAAATAAAATAGCAAGTTTACAACCAATCAACGTACACTTTCAGACTTTTTTCTGATGTTCTGTCGTTGAATTCCAGAACTTTTTTCTATCATGAAAGGAATGATCTTCATTATCAAATTTGGAAATCTCCCTGACTGTACTTGGCATGCCTTTTTAGTGTAATAGCAGTTCGAAGTTCGGTAGCACGACAAAGCATCTCCCCTAAAATGCTTGCTGACCGTTTATTCTGTAATTTACTTTTTTCACTCTTCAATAAAAAGCAAAACGCGTAAAGGAAATCGATTTATTTACGTAAACTCCCTAGTTGTCGTCAGAAGTTAAATAAAAGTCTGTTGGTCACTCGGATTTTTAGGCTGATATGCGAAATGGGGATGAATTGTGTTTTGTTTACCCCATACTCTTCAACGAGCTCTTCCTGAGAACGTTGGGTTTAATAGAGAGCTTACACAAACATTCTTTTGAATCTTGTTCGGCTGATGAAGAAATTCGGCAGTTTTGATTGGTCGTGTGGATGTCGCACAAAGTATCACATTGGTACACCACTGGTATACGTAACAATAATAATAATCATTGTTATGACCCATTTCAAGATTTGACCCATTTCGTATTGTGTTGACGTCATTCAAATGTAATTTATTGGTGTAAGGGTTATGCAATGTGATAATCCCGAAACGGGTCCGTAACATTACAATCTGCAGAGACTGTTAATAACAATCTCTGCAGATTGTTTTCGCCTTCCAATCATTTGATATACTGAAGTAAAGATTAGATTACCAGCGGAAAGACAATCCTGCAAAAGAGCTTCAAAACGCTGTAATTTTTTATTCGTTGTTTTTTCTCGTTATTTGTTCGACTGAAAGAACATTCCTATCCGTAACTCTAATTGACTAATACCATCTTCGGTAAACGAATGTCTCGTCCCATATTGCATTAAAAACTAATGTATTATGCAGCTAATTATGATTTGCTAATAACTATAAACCGTAATTAATAATTGAAACATGCCATCAGAACGATGGAAAGCAACTAACGAAGTTACTATCTTCAATTCTATGGTCTTGTCTTAATTGTTAGAACATTCTCAATGCTAGTAAACTGCAACGCTGCCTTATCATGCATATCTCTTGTGGCACAGTCGAAACAAGTTTGGTGAAAAGATTAAGTAATGGGTGATGAATTGTTGCAATATTAGAGTCTATTTCGGAAACACAGTATCAACAGCGTAATCCATTGAAAAAAGCCCTAGTTTATTTGTCTTCCATATGCGAATAACCGATGGAAAGAAAGTTTCTGCGTTCAGTTAATATCCTCGTGCAAATTGCAACGTAGCATTAGGATTTAAAGATGACGATGACTTTCCTAAAGCAGACATACTGATGTTAGTAATAAACCAAATTTTGCGGATAGACCATATTAATATGAGAAACAACAGTTGCATGTAATATTATTGTTTACTGCACCCGCTACTTTTTTTAACTTTGCTCATTTGATCGATTCATAAATATTATGTGTATTAAACACAATGTCTTTAGCACGTCAGTTATTGACAAACCTGTTATTAAGATTGATAAACATAACTTGCTCTTTTTAGCTTTTCTAACGAGTAATTGTGTTTCCCTAAACGTTATTCTGATCATTAATCTGATTGTCTTAACTAAATAATGTAAACAAGCAATACTTGCTTGTCGTATAAGATTGTTATTCAATACAGCCCGTTTCGCAACAGGCACATTTTCTAATATCACAACCAATAAGCGACATCTAATCAACATTGTTTATGTGATAATAACGAAACAAAATGTGCTTATTTCGAATCAGGTTGAATTTTTCGCTACGGGCCAGAACATAATTATCTCTATTTACTATTACGGTAGTACGAACTACTCGGAGTTACCCGTCTGCTGGATTGTTTACAGCTCGTTTAGGATTACCCGGCTGTGGCGCACATCAATATCCAGACGGCTACCCCCCATGGGTTGTTTCTTGTTCATCATATTCATTCAAGACTAATTTGTCATTGAACTCTTGTATGCTTCTTTGCCATGTAAGCTTCTTTTCTTTCCTCGAAGATTATTCTTATGACTAGTTTCAGTGTTTAAGTTCTTTTGAAGAAACTAAAATACGACAATGCACATATTGTACAGCATATGTTGTTTCCTTTCGTAATCTGTAAGCAGACCCTTAACATCAAATGTTATAAAAGCACTTGAAAAGAGGCCCGAACGATGTGGGAAAGTATCGGGTCAAAATTGATATCGCATTACATGTTAATTAGAACATGATGAACGATAACTATATACGAAAAACGTATGATATCACCACGTTATTTTCACGCTTAACAGATTGCTAGAAATGCACTAACATATTGTAATACACTTTCTTCTAGTTGCAATGGATTGTTGACCTCAACATAAAACCGAATACCGGAACCACCATTTAACATCTTATTCCATTGCAAAAAGAAATTATTCTTTAATCATTTCTTTCAAGTTATTACATAACAATTTGCTGTATAGCTGCTGTTTCTCTCAAATTTATCATATGAAAAGCTTAACTTAATTACAACCGCTCATGCTGGTGAGCACATATTCATACAACTTATATCTAATGTTAAGAAACATATATATGTAAATCTTATAAGGAAAAATCAGTATTAAACGTATGCATAATTTATGTTCAAGACGAAGCAAAAGACAAGAAACAAAGGGGGAGTCGGGGAAAAGAGTATTTTATCGCTGTATTTAGTCTTGGAAAAGTCATAGAAAAAACAGCACCTATGTAATTGTATGTGTATGTATATGTATATGTATATGTATATGTAAATGTATATGTATATGTATATATATTATAAAGGAACACTTAATCTGAGCAAATCTTCGAATCTTTCTCCATTGCTATTCTCTTTGTCGCATGGAGGAGATGCCAATGGTGATGTCGTAGGAGAAAATAAGTCACAAAGAAGATTGGCGCCTTCCGACGATCCCAAGACTGGCCAGGGGGGCTCATAAACGCACAAAGTATTCGAAGAATGCCATTCTGTAGGCGTATTTGGAGATGTTGGAGTAGGATACTGAGCGTTAAGAGATATGCCATTAACTTGTTGCTCATTGCCGATAAATTGGGTATCGGTACCAAAGTCACTAGGTGGCGATTGATAACTCGCATAATCACACTCTGAAAAGTCGTTAAAAGTGACAGGCATACCCATTATATCGTCATTTTCTGTCGCATCGGAATAATTTTGGCTATGGGGCGATGACTGTTCTGAAAATAATTGAGAATCTTGACTATAGTCTTCTAGTGGCAAAGTCACGTGGTCGCGATTAGATAACGACCACATTCGCAAACAAGAACCAAGAATCATCATTACGCTCTTAAAGTGTTGCGAATCGACATCGGTGTTTTCCGAAAGAAGGGCAGAAATCGCATATATAGCTTCATGTAGTGACTGCGATGATGGATTTGACGGGTTTTTGAGCTGTTCGAGCACGAATTCTTTGTCCAGAATTGGAATTTGTGGATGCACATAAATCCAGTATTTTTCCAAGAGCTCGCTGTTATCGTATCCGACTTCGAAATCCTGCTGAGTATCCACATAATTGGATACTAATTAAAAAATGCCATTGTTAGAAAATCGAATTACACTGTGTTACGTTAATTACTATAAAAATTGTTTCCGTACCCGGAATAGAATGTTCCGCATGTTCGCTGATTATGCGACGTTTTTGACACTTTCTAGCGTCGTCGGCGGTTATATCTCCATCATTGTGATACACTATGCCTTGTGCTTCCATCTGTTGTTCTCTCTGGCAAGAAGGCTGTATGCGTCGTCTTTTTGGGACAGATGCGTTTGCACTTGAATTAGACGGTGGAGTAGAGGTTGGACTGTGAGACTTGTCGCTGTTTGGTCCGCCTTCCGTGTCTTTTTTAATTGGCTCGTATTTACACTCCTCGCTATGTCTTATGCAGTTAGCACAGCTTCTTGGGTTGATACCGTCACATTTGATCTTTCTCCGACGACAGAATACGCAGGCCATTTGACACCTTTGTCGGTCGGGTGAGATTGGGCTGTCCAGAATTAGTTCTTCATCGCTATCTAGTTTTTTGTATTGCATAAAGATGTAGTTGTTCATTTTGGCAAATAAAATCGCGAGAAAATGGTCCAATACTAATTTAATTCGGTGAATGTTTTTGGGGAACGGACTGTTATCATTCAAAATTTATGCGAAATTCGTAACAAGTCAATTTCTTGGAGTAGCAAATAATGGTAACGGACTAGGAGTATCAGTCGTGGGCGAATGGACCAGGAAAACGTAGTATATGCTTATTATATAATGACTGTGTGAACTAATAACTGATTAATTGTACGAAGGAGGAGGAAGATCAATTAGAAAGGACTGATCAGGGATAACGAAAGTGCTAAACAGGAATGACCGCGAGCAGTTTCTTCCTCCAAGTCTGCCTCTGATCTGAATTTTGAGACGAGTCTTGACTTGACGATATCGAGGGTCTATTTATGATGTGGTGTGGTGGTACTATGCAATATGTTACACCACACTGTCTTTTGTATGTGTAACATACTGAACCCCGAACACCCAAGAATCCGAACCCAATTAGGGTATCAAGACTGTTACTACTTATTCTGGGCAGCTTGTCAATAGGCCATTAAATTATTCAATACTGGCAGAACGATGATAAATAAAACTTGTACATGTGCATAAATATGAAAGCCATTCAAAAATATACCATGCTATTTTATAATATGCAATAACGTGATGTCGTCACTTGTACTCATTAAGATGTTGCATACTATTTGTCCGTATGATGTTACATTACATAAAGTACTAAATATCTAAGTCTTAGTGTAATATGTACTATCATCGTTTTAGTCGTACTGTTCTTTGTATTGTAAAGAAAGAAACTCATACATTTACATGTCTGATGACGCGCGCTTACTCTGGTTTATTATAAACAATTAAGTACTACTGGATACTGTTTGGTATGATCTGTCTATTTAGTAAAATGGTTTCCCTCCTGTTTATCGCATTATAGCATAATGTCGAAGGAAATATCTACCATGATGACTTCCGGTATTGGTTTCTTGACTAAAACAACAATTGGCGATAATAATGGTAGTCGACGCACTATTCTTATTAACAAATATGACGACATTATTGTGAATCTACAAATTCGGATACCCAATAAATTACTATTACCATAAGCGGTATTCTATAAACAACTTGACCACTCCAAAGCAGCACGTTTTATGTTTGTTTATTTATGCTAACAAACAAACATATTTTAGGTAAAGAACATTATGCCTTAGTACAATTAGATGGTAATGTTAAAACTCAGTCAACGACAGCAAGTAAAGCATTAACCAATAAGAAAGAGAACAGATCATTAAACAAGAGAAAAGGGTTGAAGCTCTTTTTTCTTTTCGATCGAATAAACATTGAATTTTTCTTTTCAATGGTATCATCTAATGTCATGGACATTCCAATCTTATCATCCCTATACGGATACAACCAAAATTCCAGTTGTAAACATCATTTGCTACCATAACTCCTTTGCTTTATTATTCGGGGTTAATATTATTAATTGTTTAATTGTATCAACAAGAAACGTCGTAAAATAAGCTTAAATAGTCTTGGCTTTCTAATTAAAATAAATAAAAACAATTGACAATGTGATCTTATTGCAATCTCTAGGATAATTTTATTATTTATTATTAATTTTTTAATAAATTGCATGCTTCGTTTGCTTACTTATTTTCTATACTCGGAGTTATTTAAAATTTTCTGACGGCAATGGTGCGAATACATGAATCGAACGGTTGCAAACAGTGATACACACAAGCATTAGAGAGGTGAAGTGCAGGAAGAGAAGACATCGGCAAGAAGCAAATGGATTCCAAGATTTGTTTTCCAGAGCACAAACACGGATACATCCAAATAAACTGAATTGGCGTACATGTATTATCCTGCAACAGTCAATGTAACAAATAAATAGCATCAAATTCAAGTTTTATAACAAGTGCTAAAACACTATCGATCGCCTTGACTTTCATGACCATGTCTCCGGAAAGTAAACTGCGGGTCAATTTACAATTATGGCGATGCGTATATTATTATACCATATATGGCTGCTTATCGTACTCGTTAGGGAAACGGCTACTTAATTTTTACAGTTGTCAATATTCGTTGCACAAGCGATCTCTTTTTTTTTTTTTTTTTTTTACGAATTTGGGCGGAGTCGAAATGTTTGTCTTACCTTTCTTTTTTTGTCAAATTCCGTTAACCAACTATGCTGTGTTACAGAGGGATAACTTTGTTTACTTGGTTGTACACTTGACAGCCGAAATGACTTCATTGTCATACACTAAACTAACCTAATTCACATCCAATGTCCGGGGAATTCGTGCATCACAAAGATTTGTTGTGGCTCCTAGATCGACGTCATAGCAAATGGTATGATTGGTGGGAACAGTTCGTTGTTATAAAAATAGTACCGGGAAGTGGCAATCACATAACGTGATTGTGGCTCGGCCTACGGACCAGACCCAAATAATAAACTTTTCTTTACACATGGAAACTCATTGCACATATCGGTACGCAATTTGATAATATCATTCGTCGGAATATATTTAGTATAGTTCTGAGAGCTTGTCAAATCTTTACTCTGAACAATTATTGCCATCGGAAACGGATTTCCGAGCCAAAAGAAGCGAATTCAATTACAGCACTATAACAATTACATTATCACCAACATTGTTACGTTGTCGCTAAACATGGTTTATGTAGAACGGAATGCGCCGTGAAAATAAATAATGCCTTATCTGAATCAAAGCGGTAGATTCAAGACTGTTTCTTTTAGGCTTCAAAGGGTTATCCCGATGCTTATCTGCATATTTTTTTACTTGCTCCCAGTAGTTTTCAAGTATTACCTGCAGCTCAAATTACAGCGCAACACTCAAAACAAGAAGCTCAGAAGTTATTTTTGTCAGCAAACTCCAATGCGGTGCGTCTAGCGCATGCGTGACCCCTAAATGTCGCAAACACTTAATTGCGCATTAGATTAAAAGCTTCAAAAAGAAACATCCGCTCTTCTTTAAAATAACGTGTAGTTTATTTTTTCCATGACCTAAAACAGTCTTGTAGGCAACGACTCTCAACTACATTGCGTTGTATCAATTCGCGACTAATCTGTTCATTACGCTCGATATGGAAATCATCTGTCCCAACAATTATTAGCTGATCTTGTAATTCGAACGACGGCAATATATTACTACAAATATATTGTCGCTAAGCGGTAAATAATCTGCTGAGCGATTAATGGCCCAGAAGCTGATACGCCAGAAACACGGTTTGTGTTCGGATTTATAACGAATATCTTGCCATTAATACAAACACTTGCTCGCAAACTCAAATATATTATCTGCATAATAATAACAATAATAATTGCTAGAAAAGACTTATTAAGCTCTATTTAGTGTAATAATGAGAGTCTTTGTTGGCTACATTTACTAATCAAGTTAAATAAAACATAACGTCGGTATAGCTGGTATCGTACAGAAAGTTATTACCATTCTGCATCAGATTTATTTATTAATAATATGTGTCTTCTTGATATCTATAAATGCATTATTAAATTAAAGCTTTTACGATAGGTTCGCTGTGTTTTTACTCGTTTCACGTACATGGTTTATCGTAAATGTGAAGGTTTTCATGTCTGTTGACTCATTTTTCAACGTGGCAAAGCCACCACCTGGACTGTTAGTCAAGTAAGTTACCTGAGTTAAGCAAAAGTATGCATACATACCAAAATAGCCAACAATCACGATGCCGACACTCTTACTTGCTGATCTGCTGATAACATCATCGTGTCTACAGTGACTTATGCATGAGCCAAGCCATCATTTCGGCGACCATCGACAAGCCGAAAGACGTATCTATGCACTTGTTACACAGAAAGTATCAGCCTATGAATTAAAAATTAGCGCATAACAATGTTTAATTATGAACATAAATGCAGCTGCAGTACTTTGCTACTAGTGAAACCAGTTCTCCGTGTTTGATACACCAATTAAATTTCTAAGCCCTTGTTCACGCCTGCAAAAAAACAAAAACAACACTAGAAAAGCTGTTACTAGAAACGAGTAAACATAACTTGTATATCACAGAATCCTACTAATAGCAATAATCAGATTAGAAAATTAGAAGACAATAAACGACCTTTACTATGGTAATGTCGTATGGAACAATACGAGATAAAATGACAATGTCGCATGTAAATCTTTTGCTTTTGTTTGTTGCACATCGAACTGCGGAGGAGATGCTGCGATGGATTTTGGTTGGTTAATCACAATATTGTAATCACTAAAGTTCAGTATTGGCATTATTTTTCTTCCCCCAAAAAAGAGTCTGTTACCGTTCATATTTGTCAATGCCGTTATATGCCAAGTTCAAGTACATGAAGAAGGCTATCTGTTATTTGACTTCTTTACACAGTTTATTATTTTCAGTTTATAGCTTAAGCGGATACCCATCCCCAATAATTGTGCTAGTTGTTAAACTGTGATACAAATACGGAACCCTCCAATAAAGTCCTTTAATGCATATTTGCATTGCACGGTCTTTTCACTTCCCATCATAGTTCTCTAAATATATCTACAATATTCATTAACAGTCGTTATATCGTGATCTGCAGAATAATTGAACGACCCTTAAAGAATCCGGCTATTATTATGTGATACTTGATATCGCAGAACTGAGTAACCAATAACAGCTTTTGTCAATGTTGCCATCATTATACATCATGTCAATTAAGGTGAAAACCTCAATAAATGGATAAGTAATAATGTTAAATGGATGTCGGTTCGGTTCCATCAAGGAAAGATACATTTTACTACATGAAAGAATTTGTTGACTGTGCCTACGAGTTCCGGACGGAATGTAATCCGATTAAAAATGCTTTTAGAGTGAGGAGTATGACAATTTGACGCATTCTAAACAAAATGGTTCCATTATTACATACGAGACTACATTTTTAAATCAAAGAAAAGTACGCCTGGAGCAAAATGAGTACAGGCATCACATACGACAGAGAAATATTAAGTTGAGTGCGTAATGTTTTATTTGAGAGGCGTTTATTTCCGACAATTATTTCACCGACCAAATTCCCCAACATTATTCGAAGTTATCCGTTTTTTGGTAGTTTTGTCGGTGAAATGAACCGGATCCGTTTCGTATAATGTATTGTAATAAAACGAAAGCATTGAACGATCGTAAGTTTCTGTCAGTTTTAAATTTACCTTTTTCGGTTTTGTATGCTTTTTTCTTTCCCTAATACTAATTTATAAACGTGGCTATTAAAAGGAACGCACATGGGTTTTCTTTGTGAGGTCGTACTCCAATTAAGTAAAATAATATTCTCTTGTTGTAACACTAGTAGTTTTTCTGCTTACCCAGCATATTACGAATCGACACATTTGGAAAGTCGTGGTTTGTCGTCTAGCCTTTTTCTTTGGGGAGAAAGTAAACAACGTCAGGTGTATTAATTCCGAGAATGCCACCTATTAGGAGACATGTCTTTCGTACGACGCAATTAATAAATTAACGGTTTAATATCGAAAGCACTGTTTTCCAAAATAGATATTCTACGATAAACCAATGTTTGCTAAACCCTAATCAACTTTATCTTTAACTCTACCCCTGAAAAGCGGTTTCTTGATAGTCATTATGGTTTTACCTTGCTCGCGCCCCAATTACGTTCTTATTCTAATTAGAACCAGCAGGGTGCACGTGTGCACGTGCTTTTATTGTGCAACCGTAATATAAAGTTAAGCAAAACTATTAGCGAGAGACTATCGACGTTAGTATTAATAAATAAGTCTCTGCCGCTCACTTGTTCTTGGTTTCTAAAATAAAGTTTAGTATTAGTTAGCGAAATAGCGCTCTTTTGCGTCTTAATTGGTCGGTGTATGCAAAACAATAGTTATTAACAAATATAAACTACACAGTGAAATTCATTTTAACGAAGTCATCAATCGACATGCCGAACAATTCATCCATTACTATGCCGTACACTATACAGTTTTTATGTAATAATGGATCCTTTGTCTTTTTCTTTTTTTGATACAGATGCGTGACGCTTTCGGAAGGCACCTTCGCATTCGTTAAAATAAGAATAAATTCACTGTGTATACCATCGAATAAATCCAAAGACTCGATCTGCCTATAGTCTAATCAAGAGAATTGGCGCTTTACAGAACACATAATACTGGATTCCCAATTGCTCCATACATGTCAGACATAATTCCTTTCATAGGCTTCTTTAATTAGATACGTGAGAAGGTTCAAAAAGTTTTTGTCGTTCTACGGGCCGATAATCTATAATAAATTAGACTAACCAAGTAAAAGCTCAAGTCCAATGGACCGTCTATATAGCGGGTACGCCTATCAAAATTATTTCCGGAAATAATTTTGAATTTTGATAGGTGAGTGTAATATAACGATTTTTTCTGGGACGGAGTTTATTAAATTTCTATTTAATAAAATTCGATATAATGGATCCGTCAATATAACGGACAAAAGTGTGAAAAAGACTATGGTCTTTATTGTCCGTTATATATCGGCTTTTAATTGTTGAGATATCTTCGTTCAAAATTCATCTGGCTTTAATTTCACGTGACAATATGTGACGGATGTTAGTAAAGTTGTAGATGCAAAGCATTAACGCTGCGCACAGTTTGACAGCCGATTAAAACTTTCAATAATGATAGAGATTGCTTGGAGCAAGTTTGGAAAAATGTCGAAAATATCCACAGTATGATTAACAAAGACCTTACAAAAAAACTATAAAAACAAGTTACCTTCTTTTGTAGAAGATAAAGGAAAAGAGTACTACCCGCATACGACATAATAATGTTGCGCCTCATTATCATCACACATCTAAAAGTCATAGGATTTTCCGAAGCAATTATTGTCTCATCTTAGATTTTGTCCATGTCACTTATTGTTGTCTTAAGATTATAAACTTAGTTAGCGAGAAGGAAGTATGACAGGATTTTACAAATCTGTTAAGGCAGTTGTTTTTAGAATCTCGTAAGGTATCATCAGTCTTTTGAAGTTGGTGGCAAAATGTACAGACGTAGGAGAAACGATTTTGGAAAAAATAGTTAAAATTACTATTGAAATAAAAGCCAAGCAACAAGAACTTTTCACATAATATTTCTAGTTTTTAGCCCATATAGAGGATGTGAGCCAAACCCACAAGTATATCCTGGCTCATTAAACAAACTTGTGTCACCAGAGAGATAAGAAAAAACGTGTGCTGAATAAAGACCTCGAAATTCCAGCTAAGAAAAACTAATACTAATGCCGGGTTTCTACTACGCTGATATTTCGGTATTCCAAATTTCCCGGCTGCCTTAAGAACCTAATGCTAATGCTTATCTGGGAATAAATACTATCGCACCCGCGCATATCATCAATATACACTCACCTGCCAAAATCGTTTCCTGATATCAAGGTGATCGATATCGAATTTCGATCCTGATATTGCACGATTCAATCTTCTTAACGATAGTTATTCATTTATTGCAATTCTCTGCACGCACAGTATAGGTTTCCGCTTCTGATTTATGTTAATTGAATAAAAACATAGCAAATAGTTGATTTTTACAAAAAAAAACAACTTCGTATTAAAGAAAATTTCGGACATTTAATATGTTATTCTTACACAATTAGATAGGATTACACATTACTATAAAATGTCGGATAACAAGGTAATTTTTATGAATTGGAATCAGAAATTTTCTTCGGGATTTAGATTAACAAGTTCGAACTACAAGGTTAATAAGCACGTTCAATAACTTCCATAATATGCTTACCACAAATTCTAAAATGGAAAGTCAACGTTTACGCTTAGTGCACACAGACTAAAAGGACCAGCGAACTTGCACGCTTATAAAATCAATCCTCTTATTTGGAGGATTTTTAATGGAGGGCACGCTTTTGCTTAGTTTGAGCTTGCTTGCTGCATTCCAAAGAAACCAGGATATGGGAAATCAACTATATTATGGGCCGGTGTAAAAGGAAAGGATTTGTGCCGAAATGAAGTGGCCGGAAAAAAATATACGTTACAACGACTTCGAATAAACAATTTTTATTAAGACTTTTTTATTCTACCATGCATAATTCCTCCATGAAACGAAGTGATGCTCCACTAATTGACAACGAGAAGTTAATGGTAATTACAATTAATTTTCAAATGCAAACTCTGGAAAAGATTATCATCAAGGTCACATTGTGCAAGCGGGTTGCTGAGGTATTGGGCGTAGCAGAGAGTACAGTTGGGTATGTGTCAGACTGGAAGAGCCGTAGTAACAATACTTTTACGCCGCATAAAACTCTTGGAACGACCTAAATCGCGGCCTGATGAAAACATTTCAGAAATTATTGATCGGTTAAATGCACATGATATTGCTTTTTCTGATGAATTAAGAAACCAAAACTTTTGGAATTGGTTCAAATGAACAAAGAAAAGGTTCCATTTTTTGTTTAAAATTGCAGAACAATACTTGAGTTTGAAAGACTTTGATAGTTTTATTAAACGCTTTTTCAATACCTCGTCTTTGGTGCAACTACAAAATCAAAATAGTCTCTGGGTTTAAGGTCATCAATCAAATGGTGAACATGAAGTTAATTTTATTCCTCCTTATCATTGCTATTGAAGATGTTTGATCAATTGCGAAGGAAGAAGTTGCATACTCAGGTCCACATCCAAACTTCCCAATATACGTGGGGTGGTTAAAAAGTTCTGATCGTAGATTTTTGTCTTGACAAGTGCCGGTCCCACTTAAACGTAAAGACAAGGATTCGAAGCTTGAGCTTCTGAGGAACAAGTGAAAAAAAAAAGTTGGTGCGAGTTTTGACATGTGAGTTGTTGAGTAACGTTCATTTTTTTCCTGTCGCACTAAAAATTTCATAATTTTCAAAAATTCATTTCTCCAGTCTTCTATGCAATCCTTGCGAACTTTTTTTTCTTATATTTGTCTCAACCACCGTTAGAGATTACACATGTTGTGATTCGGAAATGCTAATGCCATAAAAAATATTACGTGACCAAGATGTCTCAACTATGGCAACGATTATATTCCCGATCTAATACCACGATCCATGCAAGTGGCTGTGCCGTTTCTAAAGAATTATTTTAACAAACAAGGGGAAAAAAAGATCAGGTAAATTGCTTAGAAATGTATGGAGATATGAATTTATAAAAATTATATTCACAATATTATAATGTCTATGCATTATCCTAGAATTAATATCGAGTGTTTGAAACTTTAGGACTTGCCCGACAAATATTTACCAGCGTTATTTCAAAGTTATCCTTTTTTGGGTAGTTTTTTGTCGGGCAAATGATTGTCGGGCAAATGAACCGGACCCTGAAACTTTTGCTGGAGACATCGGATTGTGTTGAAATTTTGCAAGTTATTAGGATTTGTAATATGGCATATTCAGAAAATTTTTCAATAATGTTCCTAATTTTTATGAGAAATTAGAATTACCGGGTCAATTCAGGCCAACTTTTTTTCAGCTGTCCATTAAAACCTCGGGCTTGCAGCCATAATTTTTGTTTTTAAATACATTGGGCAGTTGTTGAGATAATTGTTCACGATCAGAAGGTTTCAACCAACCCACGTATACCTATAATAATTATGCAAAAATTTTTTTATTGATGTAATATCTGAGGTATGAATTTTTTGCATTGGCCCATAATTAACAACGAGTCAATTTCTTCGTTAAAAAAGAAAAGCTTGTAAAGTTTACACTTACCTGTACAGAATGAATCTGCCTGTCGACCAGACGGCGAGTGCATCATAGTTGATGTTTATATCCGTATATCGGTGATAACTTTTTTAATTAAAAAGTGTAACGATATTTATTATAAACAGGAGAATATCTCTCATTTCGAAATGTTTTTATAATTTTTGTTTCTACACTGACTGTTCCAACTCAGGAATAATCTGAAATAAAACACAAATGATGAATAATCTATCGACGAGAATTTATTAATTACTTACTTACCAAGAATTGATATCCTTTCGTGCTATTTACAGTAACTGTGTGAATTAGTTAGCTTGCGTTGTGGTAAGCACGCATGTTCGGAAAAGGTTTTGAAATGGTTGACGAGCACGTTTTACTCCTGAGAGATAAAACAAGTTGTTTTTGTAGCTAATGGTAACAAATATTAAACTCGTATATCGATTTTCAGGGACGTTATATGCAGGTAAAAGTCATGTTTACAAGCGGGGACGGTTGGATTTTATTAAAATTATATGAACTTGAGCTCTGAGCATAAAGCCGTTTGAGCATAGGTCGCTTTGATAACTAGTTTCTCACTACTGCAATAGTTAATAATCAATAAACTGGTGTAATAAACACTAAATAAATTATTAATAATCCAACGGTTTCTATTAGGACGCTATGAATAGTTATCATTTAATTACTGCCAACTTCTTTTAATAACCTACCAACAACCTGACTTTGGAATAGCATCCAGCCCAACGGGCACGTCTTGCTCACTATGTGTGTTTGACTAAATTGGGCTGGTACTCTACATTGGATTTGCGCTAAAACTATTGTATGAGGGATTATCGCTAACCTTTTTACTTACTCAAGACAATGATACGCATATTCGATCACGTCATCTAATAAAATTGTATTCCCTGTGTTCTGCGAATTCGAAATTATTTCGCTATTGATTAGATGTCGCTGGGTTGTGATAATAGATGACGTAGATTTCGCTTTGGGCCATATCCAACGTACAGTACAAATCACATGACCATCTATATAAACCAACCAGTAAATAGACCGTCTCAAATCCAGTTGCTTGACTGGCTAGTGTTATTATTATTTGCAACGCACCTTCAACTAAAAAACACGTTGGCGTGTCAATAATTCTCGGCACAAAACTCCTTCGCCAAACACCAAGAAATTTCTAAACCGATATCCTATGTATGTTCTGGCCCAAATCAAAATGTTACACAAACATTAGCAGCAAAAAAACATGGTAATGGTTATGAGGTAAACTTTTGATACTACTGAATAACTTAAAGAATTAGAACAAAAAATTCAAGAGCTAATGTTTGCAGTCAGAACATACTTATAATTATTTCATTGTAACATTACTATGTGTAAGACAGTCGACTGAGACAAATGGGGCACGCTGCAACAAACCAGACAAAGTGAATATTATAGCATGTAATTATAATAATATGCACTCATTTCACAACACGCTAATTCAAAGTTTTTTTTCTATTCTTTTGTTACTCAATGATAATTACTTATTATACACTTGTTGTAAATTCTTGTACATAATGAACCAATGAAAAGTTGTCATAGTAACTTCTTTAATAAACGCATCGGCAGTAAAAATCAAGTAATTTAATGTATTTTTGAGCATAATGATAATGTTTTTACTTGCTCTCACTAACGAAATGTAGCATATTAATTACCTTTAATTCGTCCGGTAACCCGGACGCTTGACGCCGGACTCGTTTTTTCATAGGTCACTCAACCAGTGGAAAGATTTATTATTATGTTAAAGTTCTTCAAGTTTTCGTTTTTATCATAAGATAGTGTCAATTCTCGTTTATGGTCGGTTTTCATGGTAAATTTCGTAAGTGATTTTTTCTTTATACAGTGCACGAAAAATAAAATGTGTTACAATAAAGTCGATTTTCTTTGTCATATTCAACCAATTAAAAAAAAAGCTGTATAACAAGTGTTAACACAGCCTGTTAGATAACGCGACCGCATTTTGTTTTGATTTTGTTACACGTTTACTAACTTCACATTCAACACAATGACCAAACCCTCGCTTACTCAACGTTATATGATAATAACTTCTTTGTAGGAGGCTGGCATGCGTGATGCTGACGCCTTGCACAAATTAACTTCCATTCCACTCTCCACTGTATACAAATATATCAAAATAATATTTCATTAGACCCTCAGCCTCGGTCCGGGAGGCCAAGAAAAACTTTCTCTTAAACAGTGTCGGCATCTCGGCCAACTTGTCTCAGCGAACAAATACTCTACGAGTGCTGAACTTGCAAATACTTTAAATGATTATCATCCTAACTTAAATGTTAGTAGTCGGACAGTACTCAATGAGCTCAATATCACGCCACAGTTCCAAAATCCATCCCTCTTCTTACAGCCACTCATAAACAAAATCGAGTAGCATTCGCCATAAAATACAAGAAACAAAATTGGAATAGGGTCATATTTCTAATGAAACTACGTTCCAGATGTTTCGAAATACTCAGAAAGTATTTTACAAAAATGGTACTCGACCTCCAAGTAAGGCTATAGTAAAACACCCTATAAAGTTTACGCATGGGGTGCCTTATCAGTAAAAGGTCCTGTTGGCTTTTTTCTTTTCATGGATATTATGGACGGTACTCTTTATCGTAAGATTTTGACTGAAAAATTTTTTGATAATGCAAATACTATTATGGGAAACAATTGGATGTTCCAACAAGATAATGATCCGAAGCATGGAACTTCTTATGCAGCGATGCCCCAAAATTATGGATGGGCCGTCTAATAGTCCAGATATTAACCCGATTGAAAATTTATGGATAATTTTAAAGAATCGTGTAGACAAACAAGTCAACAAACTGTTAGTAAAAAAAAGCAATTACCAAGGACTTTTTTCGTGAGATAGTTCAGAAAGAATGGACTAAGGTCGAGGAAATAGGAAAGAATACGGTCTGGACTATACAGCAAGTAGAGAGAAAGTTTCACTCGTTCGTTATGAAGATACTTCGTTGCCTTCTGGAGGCTCAGCTCACTATGCAAAATGCAGGAGATTTTTCGGCTAAATTTTAATAGAAATGTGCAAGTTATTGCTAACAAAATCCTCGACCTTGGCAATTTTTTCTGACGTCACCACCTCGCAAGGGAACGAGCCTGTCTTTACTTCTTACTCCTCTTTGAATCCAGTGTCTAATTGTGCTGGTAGACAATGCTTGTTCCCTTTCTACATTCATCAACTTTTCGTAGATTGAGTTGTATTTCTGCCATTTTTCTAAAAAGCAATAATAAAGTGTCGTTAGCTCTTACGGCTCATTGTTTCCCAGTTGTTTTACTATGCTTTACAAAAAAAAAGGTTTCTCGACAACGAGATAATGAATTTGCCTCTACTTCTTTTTTCATTCGTTACGTGAAAGTATGCGCATTTTATGATTATTCCAATTTTAGTTAAACTGCTGCAATCTCGAGTTAGAAAGCCATACGCAAAACTTTTCAGCCTCCCCACGTATTTTAGCCCATTTTCGTTGAACTATAAATAAAAACGTCATTCTCATTACTTTTTTCGTACACTGTATGTATAGGGTGTTTTGGTATTATTCTTTTTTTAGAAGCGTTGTACCTCATCAAAAGTTACGGGAGAGCGGATGACGATCAACTCGGTTAATATTAAGGATTAGCTACTTGTCAACAGTGCATGGCTCATCTCTGGGTAGCAAATCTTATAACTAACAGGTTAGTGACCTTTCGGTAAGCTTTACTTGTGCTTGCTCTGAAATAGCAAGCGTAGAGACACAAAGAATACATGGCCCGCGTAGGTAGAGTCTATATTACAAATAAAAATAGAAGTTCTGTGTTGTATGACAAAAGTCACCGTGATTTTGTCGATCATCAACTAAACGAACGATCAACTTTGGAATGCCATTATACATACGTATTTACGATTCATTATACATCATTTGACTCAGCTTTTCATGAACTTTTCAATGGTTGAGTTAGTATTTAGTGGGGTTTCCTTGATTTTTTATTACAGCGGTTACTCTACGTGGCATGCTTTCTATCAAATTATTTATCTTGCTTAACTCCATGCCCACCCACTTTTCCTGCATAACTGCGAACAATTCTCTGGTATTTTTCGGTTTCCTTTTACAAAAATGTAAGTCTCGAAAAAGACATGCCTTTTACAAAAATGTGCTTAAGTCTCCGGGGATATGGGAACCCTGTCGTTATGTTGCTGGAAGATGAAATACAGTGGTCGACATAAATATCCGGAATTTAATCTCACAAATAAAAATTTTTATTTTAATTATTTTTGTATGCTTAAATTTCGTACACATGTTGCCAAATACAGTTACTAACTATGTAAAAAAATTCAATAATCTATCTTTTCCCCCTCCCGCTCAATTACCTCTGAAATATGATTTTTCATGCAATTCGCTAACCTAAGGAAGAGATTATTATCCAGACCCCCCCATTCCTGACTAATTATTTCTTGGAAGTCAGTTGTTAAAAGCCTTTTTTTCATTAACTGCAAATTTACTTCTTTCTCCACTTTTCCCTTAAGTATTGCCCACAAATTCTTGATGGGGTTTATATCTGGTGAGTAAGCGGGCCAATCAAGAATGTGAATATTATGGTGCTCAAACAGATCAGTTATTGCCCTCACTTTGTGGATAGGGGAGTTATCCTGTTGAAAACAAAACTGATGATTTGCTCTAGAAATGTAAGGGAAAAGGTGAGTTTCAAGAATTTGTTGATATCTTTTAGCATTGAAGTTTTCAGTGAACAAAACAAGTGTGATTGGTCCTTGTGCAGTAATGCACCCCAAGCATGAACTTTATTATTATAAGGATGCTTCACCATGCTTCGGTGTGGTTGTGACTCCCCATGATGATATCTTACTAACTGAGTGTTTCAAAACACCTGAAAAGTTGTTTCATCAGAGAAAATGGTGTTGGACCAATTGTTGCGGACATGTTTTTGTGCCCATTCAAGACGAGCTGCAATATGAGAAGGCTGCAGAAGAGGAACTCGAAGTGGATGACAAACTTCAAACTTAAGAGTTTTTTTTAATGTACGCTGAACAGTACGAACGGAAACCTTCAGATTAGGATCTTTT